CACACACACAAAAAAAATAAATAGTCCACTTTGCGTAACACCCGCTCTTAAAGTACTACTCATCAAATACATTACATACTGCGTTGACCGGGCCGGCGTCCAACTCCCAATGGATCACATCTTCAGTACCCCATTTGAAACGCACTGGCTCCCGTTCAAAAACAATTACCCCTCATAAAAACCGAGCAAACATTTTTCATCCTAACATTTCGCACATGACAGGAAAGCCCGGTTCTATTACACGTGTACTTTCTGATCTTATCCCCGCTACGCGCATAACTCCAGATCGTATCAAAGCCGAAGTAAAAATCGCCGTATTTGCTAAAAGGAAAACCACATGCTAAGTCCTAAAACAGAAGATATGGCGAAGCTGACGGCGCAAATATATTTCCCATCGAACAAGTGCAAAATGACACATTTTAAGGAGCCAGTTGGCGCGAATCGGTTCCCACAGTTGCGTTCGAGGACCATTGGTTAAAGGGGCGCTACGGTGTGCTGCTAAAATCATTCAGCACATGTGTTAGATTGTTTTTTTTATTGCTGAATTTAACTTGACGGTATGTGAGTGTGGTTTGTGGGAGCTAAAAGAGAAAATTGAAATTGGATTCAGAGGCGGTTAGAGAAGCCAAAAGTTGTGCTCGAGTAATATTGTTTTGAAGTACTCTTACTAAAGTAGAAGTACAAAGCGGTACAAGAAATCACTCGAGTAAAACGTTTGAGTGAAAAAAGTATTTGTTAAAGGTACTACTGAAGTAAGAGTAACTTTAAGAGTAACTGTCCGTGTATCATTCGTTCGCTCGTTTTTCAAAATAAAACCAAGAATAAGAAATCGAAAAAACAACTATTTTCTTCATTATTTGTCTCCAAAACCAAAATGTAAAAAACGGAAAACAATTTATTTTTTCATTTTTTGATTTTGTGTTTAAATGAGTAATGGAAAAAAGCGGATAATGGCCGTTTCCCGTTTTCCTTGACTTAAACTGCCGGACTGAACCAAGACTAAAACAGGACTGAACCAGGACTTAACCAGGACTAAAACAAGACTCAGGTCTCTGGTCTCTGGTCTTCTTTGTCTCTGGTCTTTAGTCTTTGGTTTCTTGTCTGGTCTCTGGTCTCTGGTCTTTGGTTTCTTGTCTGGTGTCAGAGCTGGTCTCTGGTCTTTGGTACCTGATCTTTGGTCCCTGTTCTCTGGTCTTTGGTCTCTGGTCTGGTGTCAGGTCTGGTCTTTGATCTTTGGTCTTTGGTCTCTCGTCTCTTGTCTGGTGTCACGTCTAGTCTCTGGTCTGGTCTCTGATCGTGTCTCTGGTTTCTGGTCTCTGGTCTGGTCACTGGTCTCTTTTCTGGTCTCTGGTCTTTAGTCTCTGGTCTCTGGTCTTTGGTTTCTTGTCTGGTATCTAGTCTTTGGTGTTTGGTCTCTGGTCTATTGTTTGGTGTAGGGTCTGGTCTCTGGTCTTTGGTCTCTGGTCTTTGGTCTCTCGTCTCTTGTCTGGCATCAGGTCTGGTCTCTGGTCTCTGGTCCCTGGTCTTTGGTCTCTGGTCTTTGGTCTCTGGTGTCGGGTCTGGTCTCTGGTCTCTGGTCTTTGGTCTTTGGTCTCTTGTTTGGTGTCAGGTTTGGTCTCTGGTCTCTGGTCCCTGGTCTTTGGACTCTGGTCTCTTGTCTCTGGTGTCTGGTCTGGTCTCTGGTCTCTGGTCTTTGGTCTTTGGTCTCTTGGTTCTGGTGTCAGGTTTGGTCTCTGGTCTCTGGTCCCTGGTCTTTGGACTCTGGTCTCTTGTCTCGTGTCTGTCTGGTCTTTGTTCCCCAGTCTTTGGTCTCGGGACTTTGGTCTCTAGTCTTTGGTCCCTGGTCTTTGGTCTCTGGTCTCTTGTCTGGCGTCAGGTCTCTTCTCTGGTCTCTGGTCTTTGGTCTCTGGTCTTTGGTCTCTCGTCTCTTGTCTGGCATCAGGTCTGGCATCTGGTCTGGTCTCTGGTCTTTGGTCCCTGGTCTTTGGTCTCTGGTGTCGGGTCTGGTCTCTGGTCTTTGGTCTTTGGTCTCTTGTTTGGTGTCAGGTTTGGTCTCTGGTCTCTGGTCCCTGGTCTTTGGACTCTGGTCTCTTGTCTCTTGTCTGGTCTCTGGTCTTTGGTCTTTGTTCCCCAGTCTTTGGTCTCGGGACTTTGGTCTCTAGTCTTTGGTCCCTGGTCTTTGGTCTCTGGTCTCTTGTCTGGCGTCAGGTCTCTTCTCTGGTCTCTGGTCTTTGGTCTCTCGTCTCTTGTCTGGCATCAGGTCTGGTCTCTGGCCTGGTCTCTGGTCTTTGGTCCCTGGTCTTTGGTCTCTGGTGTCGGGTCTCTGGTCTTTGGTCTTTGGTCTTTGGTCTTTGGTCCCTGGTCTCTGGTCTCTGGTCTTTGGTCTTTGGTCCCTGGTCTCTGGTCTTTGGTCTTTGGTCTTTGGTCTTTGGTCTCTTGTTTGGTGTGAGGTCTGGTCTCTGGTCTTTGGCCTCTGGTTTAGTCCCGGTCTTGGTTGAGCAATGTTAATATGAAGCACATTTTAATCCTCAAAACAGTGAAAATATCAAATGTTTTGCATTAAAAAAAAGTTTCCTTCCTCTGAATAAGCAACAAAACTGTAGCACTAACAAAACAATTCAGTAAAATATACAAAAAAAATCCTCTTAGCGATATATCGATACAGCAGCCCACGATATCGATACTGTATCATCACATTAAACAATACAATATATCGATATTTCCATCTTTGTGCACACCCCTACCAAGTAACAGAGTACTCTTACTTCAATAAAAAATATGACTCAAGAAAGCAAATACATTTATTGCAAGAAAGAAAGAACTAGACTCAAATTAAAACATGTTTTTATTGTTATTTTTTAATGTTTGTTGTATTTATCGTCCTGAAAAACGTGCATTGTTACTGTCTCCAGAAAGTTTTCTCAAAGCCAGAACTTGGACTTCAAATCTTTGGGCAAGACGTAACCTTCTCAAAAACTCAAACTCAAAAATAACCCCTCAGATATTTCAGAAAGTCTCAGATTGTAAGAAAAGAAAGTGTAAAGTGTGTACTGTTTACCCCGGGGCCCAAAGCAGCAAGGGGCCCTTCACAAAATCTGTAATCTGCAATTTTCATACAGAGAACGGATATTTTTGTTTTGTTTTTTTACTAGTTTGAATGGTTACAGGTTAAACAAGCAAACACGTGAAACAAGAGCAACCGTGATCTGAAAATGCACCTTAGTATGACTTTATAAGCACTTTTACAAACCCAACAGGAGATATTATAACGGCAGTAAAACTAAAAACGTGTCAAATTTGAGCTGTGAAATTTCGTCAGAGTTTTGTCAGATCCTGGAGACGTCGCAGAGGGAGTTTCGATTTCGACATTTGTAAATTGAGTCCACAAGGCCGAACGTTTTATCGCTTCCTGCTATTGTGTTGTTGTTTTTTTCAATTTCACATAAAAAATTGAATGCAAACAAAACAAAAGTAGTATTTTTTAGACTAATGAAAAAGCAAAGATAACAAAAATTCGCAAATAAACTTCTAAAAACTTCTTAAAATGTGACTCTGAAAAGAAACCTCAGATGTACTTTCCTTCTGATTCTAACTGTATCGTTTTTAACTTTTATAGGTTTATAGAGGCGACGTTGAGCACTTTTCACCTTTCATAATATTCTGTTTTTAATTGTTAATTGCTACGGCAACTGTGCTCATTTATCATCACTCTGAAGCCAACAACTTTTCCTTAGTTGATCCACCTTGTGTCGTACTTTTTGCATCTAAAGTAATATTATTTGAAGTACATTGCAATGCTACTTTACTTTTTAACTGTATATTTGTTTTGTTTTTAATAGACCTGTAATTATTGTTATTTATTTATTTGTTTTCTTTCTGATTACTTTTATAAAATATTATTAAAAAGGCGTCAACTTGTAACTTACACTTGATATACTTTACTGCTATGGATTTTGTTGTAATTACTTTTGAACAGTACCTTTTTTGGGCACATTTAATAATAGTGAAACAATCAAACAATACGGGTTGCTAATGAACTAAATGAATACTAAACTAACAAAAACAGTGACTTTTTAATGACTTTTAATGAGTGAAAGAAGAGCATCCTAATCACGCGTACCATTACAAGACCGTGCGTAACCGTGCCAAAGCCTGTAGCCTCCCACTGACACCGGGATGAGCACCACCAGCAGGCCGCCTCCGACTCCCCCAAACCCGGGACCAGGAGCTCAGAGGGCGGGTGGAAACTCACGGAGCTGTCGGTTGTTGTTGCTTCTACGCGTCTATTGTGCGTGCGCGTAAAAGACTGTGAACGCGCCAAAACCTCCTTCACGCACGAGCCATAATTGAGACATATCATTTTCATGGGGTCAAAAATGTCTAAAAACGCGCCAATCATCTTTTTACACTTAAGAGTTTACCAATAATGCGTAATAGAACACTGCTGTTGCCGTTTGGGGCCAGCTGCGCCAAGCGTAATTACGCACGGAACAGATGTAGCCTATTCTGATTTTCTTAAGCAGCTGTCTTACAATCAAACTTTGTTTTCGTGCGCACATGTAATTTAGGCTGCTGTGGAGTTTATTCAAGAGAGAAAATCACATAACTGTCTGTTTCTAGTTATAGGCTGATGTTACAAAATTTTTAAATATATACGAAATACCAGACATGCTGCAGTGATTTCATTTCATTCTAAAGTCATTTAAATTCTGATAAAATGTGCAGTTCTTCACCTTGTATGTGCTACAGCAAATACATACATCGACTATAGATTCATGATAAGTTAATTCTCATTTTTAAATTTTTGAAAGCTTCGAAACGCTTTTCAAACCTTTTCGGTATAAATGCGTAAAATGCTGTTTAATCTTGCACATTCTTTATTCCCAGCGCCTTTAAAAGCGCTGGTGAAACCCGGTGTCATTGGGAGACTGTGAAACCTGTTCTTAAACATGACACTTGTCCCACAGTGGACAGTGGAGCGCGTGGAGCGGAGCACTTACCCACACACTCGTTGGCCTCGCGCGCCGTGGCCCGCTGCCAGGGTCGGTCGTAGTGGAAGGGTTTGCACCTGTCACACTCGGGCCCCGCGGTGTTGTGTTTGCACTCGCACACCAGGTTTCCCTCGCGGTCTTTGACGCACTTTGACGCGTGTCCGTTGCACTTGCACCTGCCGCCCACCTGCAGATCCGACACGGCGTACGCGTACGAGTCCCGGGCCAGCTCCGAGTCGTCCTCGTTCTCGTCTCCAAACGTGTGCAGCCGGCTGAAGATCACCTTTATGTCTGTGGCCGTGACCCAGTCCTGAAGTACCGGGGAGTTGTCGAAATCGTGCGCGGAGGGGCGTCCGTCCAGCGTGCTGAAGGCGATGAGGCCGCCGCTCAGAGGGTGCATGTCCGTGTGCGAGTCCGTGCACACCGCCTCCTGCTCGTTCTGCTTCGTGATCACTGCGCGGTTCTGGCGGTTGTACATCTTCTTACACTGGGTAGAATAGTACTGGAAGGGCATCCAGGACTTTCCATAGTCCATGGACTTGTAGATGGCCATGGACTCGGGTCTGGGCGAACAGAACTGCAGGCTCACGTACGTCACCTCAAACTTCTTCCCCAGAGACAGCGTGAGCGTCACGTTCTGCGGGGACTGGATGTATGTCTCGGAGCGCCAGCACGTCAGGTTGTGCGGGTTGTTCAGGTCCGTGAGGTACGCGGCCGGGTGGGACTTCTTGGGGTCAGAGGCGTCGCACGTGTGGCAGTCCCGCGTGCGCTCCTCGCCCTTCTCGCTCACCACGCAGTACCGCGCCGCGGGGTTTCCGCACGTGCTGGACACGCGCACATCTTTCCCGAAAGCCGCGTTGACGAAGTCCGGGATGCACCTCCGGGGGTTGCCGTTCTCGTCGTAGCAGGGGTCCGGGGGAGAGGACTGCGCCGCGAACATGCTGAGCCCGTAGCCCCCGAGCGCGCGCCGGCTGCACGCGCACACCGTGAGCAGGGTGAACCACAGCTGCATCTTCACCTGTCTCCGCTCTGTGCCCCTGTCAGGCCGCTCAGGGTTCACTAACTCCGGGTCAAACTCCCACACTGCACCAGGGTCTGGTCCAGGGACTGAACCAGGACTGTAGCCTCTTCGCAGAAAACCAGGACTGCACCAGGACTCTGCACCAGGACGCTCCTCTGACGCGCCGCTCTGTCCTCACTTCTGTGTGTGAGGAGACAAACTATTCCGCTGCTGTGTCCACTCTCTGCCCTCACCTCTGTCCGCCTCCCTCCTCCACCCTCCCTCTCTCTCTCTCCCTCCCTCTCTCTGTCTGTCTCCCTCTCTTTCTCTCTCTCTCTTTCTTTGGTGCGCGGGTCCCATCGGCCCCTGTCCGCGCGCTCTCTTGTCGACAGTCTCCACCGTCAGGAAGAAGAGCGCAGCAGCAGCGACCCCTGGTGGAGAATATAGACACCACACACTCTTGTTTGTGCGCTCACACTGTCTGTAGGAAATTATTTTGTTTGTTCTAAAATTAGTTTATTATTTTTGTTGTCAATTACTAATTTAGTTAATTTGCATAATATATACTTTTTGTTAGGACAATATTATGTTTGTTAATTTGTTTAGTCTAATTTGCTACTATTTACTACCACTGTTGGGCAAGTTACTTTAAAACTGTAATGCGTTATTTATGACTTATTACTGTCATTTCAAAGTAATTAGTTACATTACAATATTACTGCATTTAAAATGTAAGGCATTACATTACTATTGCATTACTTTAAGTTACTCTCACCAAAATAACTGCGAAAATGCTGAACTTTTGCGCCGTATATGGACTGAACCAGGTCTAAACCAGGTCTAAACCAGGTCTAAACCAGGACTAAACCAGAGCAGAACCAGGACTGAACCAGAGCTGAACCAGGACTATAACAGGACTAACCTCGGACTGATTCCAGGACTGAAGAGGAGGACTAAACCAGGACTGAACTAGGACTAAAACAGGACTCACTGTCAGGACGGGCTCGAAGGTGACAGAAGGAAAAAGGACCGGCTTTGCTCTGCAACTCACGGAGCTACGAGCGGCTGTCACCCGGTTGCACTTTATGGACACCGTGCTCCACGGGCTTGCAGCCCTGATTTCAGCAACTATTTGCGGGTACCAGACCGGGTGCAAGACTCTGCTACAGCGCGTAACTTCTAACTTCCTTCAGCGTGTTCCAGAAGTCCAACTTTTTGTGCGATGGTTTGCATCTTCCTCTGTCTTTTGGGTGCGAGCGCAGGAGCCTTTGTCGGTGCAGAACGTTTCGTCGACATTGTGGGTTTTTTTCGGGAAGAAAACTTGCAAATGTACAGCACTTCGGACGACTGTTAACCAGGTCTAAACCAGAACTGACCCAGGTCTAAACAGCGTAGGAGTTCTGCGTCGGTCCTTTCGCCGCAGTTAACTGACGGTCTACGCGGGCGCGTCTCCGGTGTTTCATCGCTGCTGATATCGCGGTGATTTTAGCAAATTTGTATGAAGAAAAACCCACCACTTCCATCCAGGTTAAAAAAAAAGCATTGTAATGCGTGTTACTCACATTTGTACAGAGTAAAATATTAAAATTTTTTTCCCCTGTAATGCCACATTACTGCGTTACAGCAAAAAGCAATGCATTACTGTAATTTGTTACTTTTATAATGCCCAACACTGTTTACTACTAGAGATGTACCAATAACCGAAATATCGTGATATCGTATCATCATAGTTCTCACAATAATATCATGGATCATCACAATATATAGAATTACAAATTTTTTTGCTTAAATTAAGAGTTATGGTGCAGCAATGGATAAAAAAAGACAGAGGGAACTACATAGACCATGATCCTTTCCTCCATTTCAGTGCAGACTACAAGAAGAAATAACAGTTCTAACACTTTTAAGTCTTAGTTCTTTGGATTAAGTCTTGTCAAGGCTTTTTAAGAGGAAAAAGTAGAATATTAACAGTTTTGTTAAACCTCCACAAAACTATCGCAATAAATATCGTACCATGAGGTTTAGACCATGACGATATTGTAACGTGAGACTTGGATGTCGTTACACCCCTACTATTTACCTTTAGCACCTTTTCTGTTTTGGTTTATCTATGAGACGTCTAGGGGATAAAAGTGATCGACAGGCAGTGTTGGGAAAGTTACTTTTAAAATGTATTCCCCTACAGATTACAGATTACATACACCAGAATGTAGTTTGTAACATAATCCATTAAGATACTTCATGTGAGTAACATAATCTGAATACTTTGGATTACTTGATTTGCTGTAGAGAAGCAAAGATGAGGATAAAAAGCCCAGACTTTACTGAACCAAATTAAAAATATTATTGATAGAAGAGGAGGAAACACGATCCACGCAGCATGATTTAGTCCTGTTAAATCCTGGTTTAGACCTGATTTAGACATGATTTAGACCTGGTTTAGACTTGGTTTAGACCTGGTTTAGACCTGGTTTAGACTTGGTTTAGATCTGGTTTAGACCCGATTTAGACCTGGTTTAGACCTGATTTAGACCTGGTTTAGACCTGGTTTAGACCTGGCTTTAGACCTGGATTAGACCTGGTTTTAAACCTGGTTTAGACCTGGCTTTAGACCTGGTTTAGACCTGGATTAGACCTGGTTTTAAACCTGGTTTAGACCTGGCTTTAGACCTGGTTTAGACCTGGATTAGACCTGGTTTTAAACCTGGTTTAGACCTGGTTTAGACCTGGCTTTAAACCTGGTTTAGACCTGGATTAGACCTGGTTTTGACCTGGTTTTAGACCTGGTTTAGTGTCCGGCAATGAGTGGAATTATGAAAAAAAAAAAAAAAAAAAGGAATATAGCCCAAAATGTAAAAACAGGAAAATACCACTGTGTAATCCACTTATTTCAACAAAGTAACTGTAATCCAATTACCACTCACTGAAACAGTAACTGTAACTGAATACAGTTACTCATAATTTGTACTCTGATTACGTAACTCCGGTACATGTAATCTGTTACTCCCCAACACTATCGTCAGGTAGAGCAGAGTGCACCTGGGTGGGCCTATATTTTTTTAGCAGTCGACAGCAGAGGCCTTGGTCACGTGTGCCCAACCAGGTAGTTGTTTGTCTGCGAAACTGGAATAAATCTTGGAAATACAGCTCTGGTTATGGACATTGATTTTGTTTTTTCCTTCACTGCGTAAACCACAAACCCATGGTGCTCAAAAGAGACGATCTGAGTTATGTTTAGTTCTGGGTTTGCTCATCGCTTTTGTTTATTACTTTTATTTGACAAATAGTCCACAATCTAAAACATGTGAATACACAAAGAGATCTTGTTCTAAAAACATCCGGGACATTAGGTGCACTCACTGAACGTGGTGTCATGAGCCTCGTTTGTAGCTCTGCCCGTTATCAGACAAAGAAAACAAGAATGCTGCTGTCAATGATTTCAACTTAAATCAAGTCTACAGGAAGTGCTCCACTGTGTTTTTAAACTCCACACACCTTCACTAGAATCATTTGGATGATTTCAGCCCTGGAATTACCAATCTCTACTGAACTAAAGGTAAAAGGAGCTACTTAAACGCGTGCGAATGAAACAAAACACAACTTCAGGTCTGTTTTCGAGGAGGTAACAACATTATGACCTGACTTAAAGCTCACAAGAGTCAATTTCATGTAATATAGTAGCTTGTATTAACCTGAGTTAAAATAAGGAAAAGCTCTCAGGACCAAAACCTCAAGACTTAAGATGGGTTTAATTCCTTGTCCTGGTTTGAGCCCAGTAATATTAAAGATGCACTGTGGAGTCTCCATGGAGATGTTACTGATCCACACTAAGGCATTAACTTTGTCTATCTTGCATTTATCTATAAAAATGTTTTTATTGCTCAGATACCTTGGAAAACGTGTATTCTTACTGTGAGCGGGTTTGCCTCTCTACAGATCTGACCTGTAACTTGTTCCCATGGAGATAGACAAGTCATGCCATCCTCTAGGACAGGGGTGTCAGACTCAGATTCATAGATGGCTAAAATAAAAACTGGGATTAAACTAAACTAAATATTTCTAAATATAACTAAATATTTCTTTAAAAATTTCACCAACCTCTGCATGTTTTTTCTCTTTTTCAAGATATGTAATGTTAAACCTTTTCTTATTAAAATAAATGTTTAATAATAGTTTTGCTTAAACACTGAATCCAGAACAACATTATATATATATATATATATATATATATATAATATATATATATATATATATATATATATATATATATATATATATATATATATATATATATATATAATATATATATATATATATATAGCCAAACTGGAAGAGTGGCTTCAACAGATACCGGGAAAAACAATGGACATCTCAGTCCAGAAAAGTGCAGTACTGGGAACAGCAAAGATACTGCGCAGAACTCTCAAGCTCCCAGGCCTCTGGTAGACGACCCGAGCTGAATGAGGGTGAGAGACCAACCACCGTGGAAGGTGAGAAACACATATTATATATATATATATATATATATATATATATATATATATATATATATATATATATATATATATATATATATATATATATATATATATATATATATATATATATATACAATTTTTTTAAATAAATAATGTCTCTATAGTCTATCTGTAGCTTTTGAACTCCTTTTATTTTTTTTTATTTTTTTTCACAACCCAACAACCAGTCAAAAATAACAACTTGGTTCAATGAATCTGTTAACTATGAACAGTCAAGAATCATAAAGAAAACATTCATCCAAGCTCAGTTTGTTACACTGTGATTTACTCTGATGTACGTAGGTCCAAAGCAGAAACAAATACTTGGCATCTTCTTAGATACAAGTTCATCAAAGTAGTTATATTAGTAGTATTAGTAGTATTAGTAGTAGTAGTAGTAGTAGTAGTAGTAGTAGTATCACTATCATTATTACTATTATTATTAGTAGTAGTAGTAGTAGTAATGGTATTAGTAGTATTAGTAATAGTATTAGTATTATTATTAGTAATAGTAGTAGTAGTAGTAGAAGTAGTAGTAGTAGTGGTAGTAGTAGTAGTAGTAGTAGTAGTAGTAGTAGTAGTAGTAGTAGTAGTAGTAGTAGTAGTATTAGCAGTAGCAGTAGTAGTATGTAGTATTAGAAGAAGTAGTAGTAGTAGCAGTAGTAGTAGTAGTAGTAGTACTATGTAGTATTAGTATTAGCAGTAGTAGTAGTAGTAGTAGTAGTACTTGTAGTATGTAGTATTAGTATTAGCAGTAGTAGTAGTAGTAGTACTTGTAGTATGTAGTATTAGTAGTAGTAGTATTAGTAGTAGTAGTAGTAGTAGTAGTAGTAGTAGTAGTAGTAGTAGTAGTAGTAGTAGTAGTAGTAGTAGTAGTAGTAGTAGTAGTAGTAGTAGTAGTAGTAGTAGTAGTAGTAGTAGTAGTAGTAGTAACAGTAGTAGTAGTAGTAGTATTAACAGTGTATGTCATACTGGTACAGCAGTCAGCAGGCAGCTCTAATACACATTTGATATGAGCTTGTGGGCCAAATATAATTATATTTTGGGCCAAATTTGGTCCCGGGGCCTGAGTTTGACATGTCTGCTCTAAAACATCCCAGGAAGAACCAGGAAGACTGTGATCAGTACGAGCGTTCACGTTTTTTTATGGTCAGATTGTGTTGAAATAAAGCAGAGATTTAAGTCTAACCCCAAATGTGATTTAACTCCATTCTCATTCTCATTCTCACTCTCCTTGTCTGCAGTCGCATCTAGAAACCAGCAGATGGCGCCAGACAACTAGCCATGACAGCACTTTAGTTTGGGTGAAATTGCACATTTTCCTCTTGGCTCATCTTCTTTCTTTTCCATCACCTCCTTTTCTTTAGTGATGTTACTGCTTTGTCTGGAAAGTTCCACAGTATGGCATTAAACATACGTCCCTTTAATTTATCAATTTAAGTGGGGGCTTTATTTCCAACAATATCCCTAAACATTTTCACTGTTTTGATTATTAAAATGTTTGTGTTTCATATGAACTTTGCACAAGAAGTGGTTTAACAAAGACTTTTAGTATCATAGCATGATTTAGCCTTCATGATTTACTGAACTGTATCGAATTGATTTGAAATATATGGTATCGTATCACAAGTGCACTATATAGAGATATATATCGCATCGTGGCCTATGTATCGAGGCATGTATCGTATCGGTAGCTTCTTAATGATACCCAGCCCTAACAGGGACTGAAGGTGGAAATGAGCGTAGTTTAATGTTTTTATGTGCATTGTTCCTGATAAATAAACACATAAACTAAACTAAACTAATTCCCCCCCTGAGCTGCAAAGGCTGCACTAAGGAAACTGTGTCTCAGATCACATGGCCCTGACCTGTGGGGTGCCTCAGGGGTCAATCCTGGGCCCCCTGTTGTTCAATCTCTACATGCTGCCATTAGGCCAGTTAATAAGCAGCAATAATGTGTCCTACCACAATTATGCAGACGACACTCAGATCTACGTCTCTCTGGCAGCAGGAGACTATGGACCAGTGGAGTCACTTGGTCACTGCATCCAACAGATCAGTGTGTGGATGCAAAACAACTTTCTCCAGCTAAACTCTGACAAGACTGAAGTCATAGTGTTTGGTCCACAGAAACAAAGGGACAGTGTCAGCATCACCTCCAGTCTCTCTCTCTAAAACCTTCAAATCAGGCAAGAAATCTAGGGGTAATAATGGACTCAGACTTGAACTTTAACAGTCACATAAAATCAATAACATCTGCAGCCTTTTACCATCTAAAAAACATAGCAAAAATCAAAGGTTTACTGTCTAAATCAGACTTGGAGAAACTTATCCATGCCTTTGTCTCCAGTAGGTTAGATACTGTAATGTTCTGCTCACTGGTCTCTCCAAACGAGCTGTGAGACGCTGCAGAACATCCAGAACATCCAGAACATCCAGAACATCCAGAACATCCAGAACATCCAGAACGCTGCAGCTCGGGTCCTTACTCGAACTAGGAAGTACGAGCACATAAGTCCTGTGCTCAGGTCTCTGCACTGGCTCCTGTGGCTCAGAGAATAGAGTTTAAAGCAGCTCTGCTTGTGTACAAGTGTCTCCATGGCCGAGCACCAAAGTACATCTGTGACATGTTAGTGTCATATGAACATCTCACACTCTGAGGAGCTCAGGGACCGGCCTCCTGCTGGTGCCCAGAGTCACGACTAAACAAGGGGAGTCAGAGTTTCAGGTTCATGCAGCTAAAACCTGGAACAGTCTGAACATGTGAGACAGACTCTTCTGTGACGCTGTTTAAATCCAGACTCAAAACATTTCTGTTTAACTGTGCATATAACTGAAAGATTTTCATTCCGCACTCTTCTCTCCAATTTATGTCTCTCTTTTTAATTTTAATCTTCATGATTATTTATGTTTTGATTTGTTTTTATTATGATTTTAATATATTTCTTATTCTGTAAAGCACTTTGAATTACTTTGTGTACGAATTGTGCTATACAAATAAACTTGCCTTGCCTTGCCTTGCCTGCACTATCCCTGACTCGTGATTGGCTGCAGGTTCTGGGGTTTAGGTAAAGACCATTTGGATCAGAGAGAGGGATTTTAGGTTTAAACCAACTGGATTTTTAGCCAGGCTGGTGCAACCTAGTGCCTCCGCTCGATTTAATATCTCTCCAGCGACTATGTCAGGAATCGGAATATACTAGATGGTTTGCAAAAACCCCGGAAAAGCAAGTTCGGGCACCAGCCAATCAGCTGAGCTCGAGGATTTAAAGCCAAAACAAAGAGAATGTTTGGTAAATTTAATCAAGGGGAAAGATGTTATTGCCCTTCTTCCTACGGGATTTGGCGCATTACATATGTCACGACCAAACAGCAGCGATTGGTTAAATTAAAAAAGTACCCACCTACCGTCAAGTGAACGAATCCTAATCCTACGAGGTCAGACGGTTTCCACAAAGTAAAACCGGCTGATGAATCATGCATCTCTGCACTAGGCATGGGACGATATTGAAATGTGGTGTCACGATCATCATGGCCAAAATAATTGCGATTAAGTTTGTATCACGATAATAAATTATTAAAGCTGATGACAGTTTTAAAATGTTGTGGACATGAAGAATTACAATTGTCATATCATGAATAGGTTCCATATTTAAATAGCTGTTATAGTCAACTGCGATTATCTTTGTTGCCGAATATCACGATTATAGAAAATGTCCCACAAACGATTATTGTTTACCATTTTTTAACACGATAAACGATATTATTGTTTATTGTGTGAAAGTGAAACTTATAATGATTGGATAATCATCTTAAGAATGAAAACACCAAATTATAACATAAATGAAGGTGATATCATGTGCAGTGTTTTTGTACAATAATTAATTAAGAATAAATCAGTATTTTCAAAAAACATTTTGAACATAGTTACCTTGGATTTGGTCACATTTTATGTTTTATATTTTATCACTTATCTTTCCATTTTATTTTTACTTGTGCATTTACATTTATATAAGTATGTCTTATTTCACACTTTTTTTTTGTTACTTATTTTGAATTTATTATTACCATTTATATTTTTGCTCACTGTTTTATATTTATTGTGATGTTTGAGCTACTGTGTCCAAATCATTTCCCTTGTGGATCAATTATGTTTGTTAATTTTAAGTCTGTGGTGCCTTAAAATCAAAATCTTACATGCAGTTCCTTTAATGCCATATTGTGGAACATTCCGGACAATCAACAAAACCAACAAAAATGAAGACAAGCACACCGAAAAGCTGCACAATGTACCTTTAAACGCAGCTTATTGATTTGATTTTCAATTGAAATCAAATAAATAAAATAATAAATCGGCTGTGGGCGTGCGTAAAGTCGCGCCGTGGCGTCATGACGTGATGTGGTCAACAACAACTCAGCTGTTCTGATGTCGCCTTCACTGCGCACTCGGAAACGGGATACACGAAATATAACACAGGGGATTTTAACTATTTTAAACATATTTTTATTCACTGAAATACGTATTTGTCAACATTTATTTATGGTTTTTGTCTGACTATTCCGTGTTAGTCTAAAAAAAACGAGAAAGATTTTGAATTAAAGTAAAATCGTTGAATACGCGCAAAAAATGACGTTGTGGCGTGGCCCCTGAACGCACCACGAGACAAGCGAAGGAAAAAAAAAAAGGGGAGAAAGGAGGAAGACATCCACCACCACGTAGCCACCGTAGCATCGTAGCGGTCCCGCGGTCCTGCCCCGAAATGCGCCCGCTTTTACGCACTCGCTGATCGGCCCGGAGTGTCTCCTCTTACGCGCGGGACACTTCCACGCTCCCACGCCCGTCCTCGATCGGGAATCATTGGCCCGCAAAGATGGAGCTGGAGGACGGGGTTGTGTACCAGGACGACCCCGGGGGTACGTCCGCGATGATGTCCGAGCGCGTGTCGGGCCTGGCCAGCTCCATCTACCGGGAGTTCGAGCGCCTCATCGGTAAGTACGACGAGGACGTGGTGAAGGAGCTGATGCCGCTGGTGGTGGCCGTGCTGGAGAACCTGGACTCGGTGTTCGCGGAGAACCAGGAGCACGAGGTGGAGCTGGAGCTGCTGAAGGAGGACAACGAGCAGCTCATCACCCAGTACGAGCGGGAGAAGGCGCTCAGGAAGCACGCCGAGGAGGTGAGCAGGCGCGCGGGGAGGATTTGGGGACGCGCCCGAGGGGGTCTTGGTGCGTAACCGGAGGCTCCGTTTGGGGGTCGTACTTGTGGATTAACTTGCTATACACGTGGGTTCGGCGGGCTTCATCCTCTCTGGCTTCATCATCTTCAGCCTGGATGTAAACAACAGGGGCCAGGCGCGGGCACGTCACGTCAGACCAGACCCCCATGGCCCTCTTTGTACGGACAGGGACCATTGTTTTTGTGTTTTTCAATGGGCCTGGGTACAGTGGAGGGAAGGGTTTGAATCGGGACTGAACGAGTTAAACAGGGCTAGACTAGGCTAGGACTAAACTAGACTAAACAAGGACTGAACCAGGACTTAAACTCTAGGTAATTTACAAGTAATAACGAATGCTAGAAGTACTAAACCAGGACCTAAATCTGGTGCTCAATCAGTATCTTGAGATTAGAACTAAACCAGGACTAAACTAGTCCTAAACGAGGACTAAACCATTATTAAACCAGCATTAAATCAGGACTAAAACAGGACTAAACTAGTCCTAAACGAGGACTAAACCATTATTAAACCAGCATTAAACCAGGAATAAACCAGGACTAAACCAGCAGTAAACTAGGATTAAACCAGGAACATATCAGCATTAAACCAGGACTAAATCAGGACTAAACTAGTCCTAAAGGAGGACTAAACCATTATTAAACCAGGACTAAATCAGCAGTAAACTAGGATTAAACCAGAACTAAACCAGAACTAAACCAGAACTAAACCAGGACTAAACCAGGACTAAACCAGCTTTGAACCGGGACGAAATCAGGACTAAACTAGTCCTAAACGAGGACTAAACCATTATTAAACCAGCATTAAACCAGGACTAAACCAGCAGTAAACTAGGATTAAACCAGGAACATATCAGCATTAAACCAGGACTAAATCAGGACTAAACTAGTCCTAAAGGAGGACTAAACCATTATTAAACCAGGACTAAATCAGGACTAAACTAGTCCTAAAGGAGGACTAAACCATTATTAAACCAGGACTAAATCAGGACTAAACTAGTCCTAAAGGAGGACTAAACCATTATTAAACCAGGACTAAACCAGAACTAAACCAGGACTAAACCAGAACTAAACCAGGACTAAACCAGCCTTGAACCGGGACGAAATCGGGTCTAAACCAGGACTAAAACAGCATTAGACCAGGACTAGACCAGGACTAAATAAGGTACTGTACATGTCATTTTTAGCAGTCTGTACTTTACTTAAGTGCATACATTTTACTTTTACTTCACTACATTTACGAGCAGGTATCTGTACTTCCTACTCCACTACGTTTTTGAACAGGACTGAAAAGTAAAAGTATTTATATTATAGCTTGAGACCTGCTGAAAAGGCCGATGGTTTATTTTGAACACATTTGTATTTTGTTTAACCAAAAATAATAACAGCTAGGAAAAAAACACAAAATTCTGCATAAATCCGTTTCAGAATCACTGCATTTTGAGTTTCATTAGATCTCAAAATCGGAAAAAAACTAAACAAAACTTATACGTTACGTTTTTTAAGAACGCTTTTAAACATGTACTTTAATACTTAAGTAGATTTTTTTTCATGTAATACTTTTCGTTTTCCTTGCTCTTGCATCTGTACTTTTACTTAAGTAACAAAATTGAGTACTTCGTCCACCACTGAACTAAACAAAGACTGAACTGTAAAATTATGGTGGACTGGGTTGGTCCCGTTTTAGCAGTTTTGATTTTTAGTTTGTGCGCCAACTAAATCAGGACTAAACCAAACCAGGGGACTACATGAAAACCAGTTCCCCAGTCCTCCAAACTCAACACAGAAGTAAAATTTAATTATTTTTAAATAGTCTGTAAAGAAAGCCGGTGTGGTGACTCAGCTTTTTCATTCACTGTAACACGTGTGTGGCATATTAGAGACCAGAACGGACTAAAAATAGAAATTATAGACCTATAAATAGCTTACAGTACATCTTAAACGCTGCTGGAGTAAAACTGGACACGTGGTTCATCTGGTGATTTTTCTGAACGGTAAAACTACGGCTTAAATACAAACATATGTGATTGAGATTTCGTGCCATAAGATTTCAAGAGACAAAAATTCCACAAGGCTGTAATCCTGTGTGATTTTTACCCCCTTTGGATTGAACAAAAAAGTGAATCCGTGAGTTGAACCCGTGTATCATTTGTTCATTTGTTTTTCAAAATAAAACCAAAAATAAGAAAACATAAAAACAACTATTTTCTTCATTATTTGTGTCCAGATTTGTTTTTTCAGTTTTCGGATAACGTCCGTTTCCTGTTCATGTGACTTAAACTGCGATGCGACTTTTGCGCCGCACAGGACTGGACCAGGACTGGACCAGGACTAAAACAAGAGGACTAAACTTTGTGGACACCCTGCTCCACAAGCTCGGGGTTCCATCTCTCTCTCAAATCCAAAATCAGTCCTGGTTTAATCCTGGTTCTGGTTTAATCCTGGTTGAGTCCTGGTTGAGTCCTGGTTGAGTCCTGGTTGAGTCCTGGTTGAGTCCTGGTTCAGTCCTGGTTCAGTCCTGGTTTTAGGTCCTGGTTCAGTCCTGGTTCAGTCCTGGTTCAGTCCTGGTTCAGTCAGTCCTGGTAGTCAGTCCTGGTCAGTCCTGGTTAAGTTTCACAGTTTAAGTGATCTGTTTTTTCCATTATTCCTTGAAACACAAAAATAAAAACTGAAAAAAAAAAAAACTAATCGTTATCCGTTTTTTCATTTTGGTTTTGGAAACAAATAATGAAGAAAATAGCTGTTTTTTTGTTTTCTTATTTTTGGTTTTATCTTGAAAAACGAATGAACGAATGATACACGGATTGAGCTGCATCTTTTGAGAAGCTGTAGTTCCAAAACGCACTGCTAGAATGACAACGGAAATATTAAATGAAGTAAATATAAATTCTGGAGCAAACTTTGGGAACTAAACTGGACCATTTACATCTTTGAAATTATGTCAAAATCTCTTCTTGCCTCACTCGTGGACCCAGTCTTGTGTGTCGTCTTGTGTGACTTATGTGATTTTACAGTGTTTAACCTCGGGCACTTGTAACAGCTGCACCGTGCATGACTGCCCCAAATGCCAAGGGTAAAGGCTTTAGTAGCTCCACTTTGCATTAGGGATGTAACAATATTAATGTTGTAATATCGTAACATTATTATGATATGCATCTCATGGTACAATATTTATTGCAATATTTTTGAGAAGCTTTTAAAAATACCTTGAGAAAGCTTTGGTGCGAACCAATATTGTCATAATCCCAAGAATTAAAGTAAAAAATATATTTCTTAGGGAAGGGATGAGACACAATAATCTGTGTATCATTTGTTCATTTGTTTTTCAAAATAAAACCAGAAATAAGAAAACGAAAAAGCAACAGTTTTCTTCATTATTTGTTTTTCAACTCCCCCCCCCAAAATGGATAATGGTTAGTTTTATTCAGGTTTTGATTTGGTGTGTAAATTAATAATGGAAAAAAACAGATAATGGCCAAAGACCGACCGAGACCGCGACCGAGACGACGACCGCGACTGAGACGACGCGACCGTGCGACCGGTTGGACCGGTTTAGGTTTCGGTCCTGGTTCAGGCCTGGTCCGGCATCACAGTTTAAGTCACGGAAATGGGAAACGGCATGTTATCTGTTTTTTCCATTTTTCATTTAAACAACAAATCGAAAACTGAAAAAACAAATCATTATCTGTTTTTTTCATTTTGGTTTTGGAAACAAATAATGAAGAAAATAGTTATTTTTTCATTTTCTTCTTTTTGGTTTTATTTTGAAAAACGAATGAACGAATGATACACGGATTCACAATTTCCACGAGACAAGACGAGGTTTTAACACAATTTTTAATCTATAAATTTACCATTCATGTTCCAGTTTTGACCTCAAATTTTTGTTTTCATTCTCGTGCTGCTTTTCAGAACTAGACGCAAATCATGAATGCATAACTCTTTTTCGTCCAATCCAAATGTGAAGACTGAGAACTGAAGAAGCAGCTTGGATGATCTGCGAAACGTATTCAACCAAAATAAACTTTTGTCTAGTTGACAAATTGAATTTCTCCTTTGCCACATTGGTCACATCACATTTTCAAAAAACAAAACTGAGTCAAATTATGTTACATGGAAGGCCTTAACTTAGATTTATTTTGAAATATAGGAAATAGGAATGTAACGATATCCAAATCTCTTCGTACGATATTTATTGCGATATTTGGAGAGGCTAATATAATTGTAGATCACACATTTTTGCTTTTAACATACTTTGACAAGATTTTGGTGTGAATTATTTCCGTAAACTTAAAAAAACATATTTCTTCATATTGTTTGGACTGAAATGAATCATGGGATATGTAGTTCCAGATGTTTATAAGCTGTTGCTATTATAAAACCATGCATTTAAGCAAAAGAACTTGTAATTCGATATATTGTGACAGTCCACGATATTATTGCGAGACTTCTGACGAGACGATATCACGATATTTTGGTTACTGCTACATCCCTACTAGAAAACATACCAAAAAATATGTGAATTGTCGCGTTTAAACCCTCGTCGTGATTTAAGAATGAATGGCTGAGATGTTACTTCCAGGTCATGTGACTTATTGTTTGCGCGTCGTAGGAGAAAGCACAACCCCCATCTTGAATTTCGATTTGTTTGAGAATAAAAAAAAACAACAAATAAATCACTAGAGCAGAATAATTGTGCAATATATTTGTGTTTTATGTCATGAAAATAGTAAAACTACGCGAGGTCTGTATGTCTGAGCAGTAAATCAGTAAAACTCTGACAGATTTGGTTGATTTTTAGTCGTTGGAGTGCCGTGTTTCTTGTAGCAGCCCAACTCCACGTCTGTCTGACTCAGCTGGACAGGAAGTGGACGCATATTTTCCCGCCCGTGCCACAAAAGGCATTTCCTCATGACCAAATGAAGCACTTCCTGTTTCATGCATCAATTATAGAACATCGCATCATGGTTATTACAAAGCTGCTCCTCCGATGTTCTGGTTTAAACTTAGACAAACTTTACTGAGCCACAAGGGAAATTATTTGGACACAGCAGCTCATACATCACAATAAAATATAAAAACAAAGAGTAAAAATATAAATTGTAATAATAAATTCTAAATAAATATAATAAATTGTAAATAAATAGCACAAAAAATAGCAAGAAACTAAAATAATTATATAAATGTAAATGTACAAGTAAAAATAAAATAGAAAAATAAGTAATAAATTAAAAAAATTTAAAAAGCTATATACAAGAGGTCATAAGAGGTGAGTTGTTATACAGTTGTAGGGAGTATTATCTGCTACATAAGGCTGAGTTGCTGTACAGTTGTAGGGAGTATTATCTGTTACAGAAGGATGAGTTGCTGTACAGTTGTAGGGAGTATTATCTGTACAGAAGGGAGTTGTGCAGTTGTAGGGAGTATTATCTGTTACATAAGGCTGAGTTGTTGTGCAGTTGTAGGGAGTATTATCTGTTACATAAGGGTGAGTTGTACAGTTGTAGGGAGTATTATCTGTTACATAAGGATGAGTTGCTGTACAGTTGTAGGGAGTATTATATTGTTACATAAGGCTGAGTTGTTGTACAGTTGTAGGGAGTATTATCTGTTACATAAGCTGAGTTGTGTATTGTAGGGAGTATTATCTGTTACACAAGGGTGAGTTGTTGTACAGTTGTAGGGAGTATTATATTACATAAGGCTGAGTTGTGCAGTTGTAGGGAGTATTATCTGTCACAGAAGGGTGAGTTGTTATACAGTTGTAGGGAGTATTATCTGTTACATAAGGGTGAGTTGTTGTACAGTTGTAGGGAGTATTATATTACATAAGGCTGAGTTGTGCAGTTGTAGGGAGTATTATCTGTCACAGAAGGGTGAGTTGTTGTATATTAGTTGTAGGGAGTTGTATTATCTGTTACACAAGGGTGAGTTGCTGTACAGTTGTAGGGAGTATTATATTACATAAGGCTGAGTTGTGCAGTTGTAGGGAGTATTATCTGTCACAGAAGGTGAGTGTTGTATACAGTTGTAGGGAGTATTATCTGTTACATAAGGGTGAGTTGTTGTACAGTTGTAGGGAGTATTATATTACATAAGGCTGAGTTGTGCAGTTGTAGGGAGTATTATTTGTTACATAAGGCTAAGTTGTTGTACAGTTGTAGGGAGTATTATCTGTTACAGAAGGGTGAGTTGTTGTATAGTTGTAGGGAGTATTATATTACATAAGGCTGAGTTGTTGTGCAGTTGTAGGGAGTATTATCTGTTACAGAAGGCTGAGTTTTTGTACAGTTGTATATTATGTTACATGTTGTTAGTAGGTTATTATCTGTTACATAAGGGTAGTTGTTGTATAGTTGTAGGGAGTATTATATTACATAAGGCTGAGTGTGTAGTTGTTGTAGGGAGTATTATCTGTTACATAAGGTTGTAGTTGTTTGAGTTGTAGTATTATCTGTCACAGAAGGGTGAGTTGTTATACAGTTGTAGGGAGTATTATGTGTTACATAAAAGGGAGTTGTTGTGCAGTTGTAGGGAGTATTATCTGTTACACTTTGAGTCTCTTTATTGATTTTTTGTTTCATTTTTGTAACTCTTTTTGCTCTTTCCTCTGTCCTGTTTGTGGAGCAGAAGTTCATCGAGTTTGAGGACGTCCACGAGCAGGAGAAGAAGGACATGCAGACACACGTGGACCGCATGGAGTCCCACTCGCGCCAGCTCGAGCTCAAGATCAAGAACTACAACGACCAGAGTAAGTATCGCCCTCGCCGTCAAAACCTGGATTACCATGGCAACCGTCTGCAACTAAAAAAACGCGATCAATAGAAGTAGCTTTCCTAATGCATTCCTAGCGTCCTCATTATTCGCCACGATGAGTTTAGAAGTGTGTGTCTCAGCTTTCAGAGGCTGGTGTGGAGTTTTGCTGTCACTGTATTGCTCACAGTACCTTGCATGCTAACGGCGCACTTCCTGGTTCTCACACACTTTGAAATTAGATTACCAAACGAGCTGCTTTTAAGAAAACATATGTACTGGGCAAAACATATTAAGCTCAAATACATGGACGAAAATTTAATACAGTTACTCAAATGTAATAAAATAGTGAAAAATTAGATGGGAGGGGCGACCGTAGCTCAACAGGCGAGTTTCAGCTGACGTCATTGTTATTAAAAGCCTGCATTGCATGCTGGGAAATATTTTGATCGGAGGCAAGAAACATGATAGCGTCAAACACGGTGCGTAACCTCGCGTATTTATCCCCGATAATGGTAAATTCCTGCATTATCGGATGCACAAATAGAAGCACAGAAGAAGGAAAATGTCTTTTTTCGCATTCCGAGTGAAAAGAACCGCTAACGGTGAATTAAACGGCTTTCAAACATCCGCAGAGCAAATGTAGAAGATCCGAGCAAACTGTGGACTCCAACAAGTTCAACAATGCATCAAGACTCTTGTCGACTTTCAACTTTTCTGCTGTGAATGTCCCAGGAGTTTCCACCAAGTCATTGTGGATATCGCCGAAGTGAATATTTGTCCAGGTAGTTGGCGATTCCTGACCAGAAATTTGGTTTGGTCCACCTTTTGTCGAGGTTGAAAAGGGTGATTTGGCTCCGTCGATGCTTATGACCAATTTCTGGTCAAATCAACTTGGGTCCTCTGCCGTTAGAGTGGATAAATAACCGGGATCAATACCCTTTACGTGCTTTCTCGCCCCGTCCGTCATTTTGAATTAGTGTTTCTTGCCGCCGACCAAAATAATTCCCAGCATGCAACGCGCGCTTTTGTCAACAATGAAACTTGCCTATTGGTAGAGCGTTTGTCCTCTGATCCGAAGGTTGGCAGTTCGAATCCAGCTCTTGATGTGGTTGAGCGATTGATCCTTGGTGAGTGGTGTAGCAGTACACAAAAATCACAGTTCGGTACGTACCTGGGGGTTTGAGGTCACAGTTCGGTTCATTTTTTTATGGGAACAAATTTGAAAACCATTTGTTTGTTGTTTATTTGTGTTTTTATTAAACCAACAATTTGTGGGAAAATAAAATAAATGCAAAGTGCAGCTTGGTAATACTAATAAGTTAAATAAAATATTCTCAAATGAGCAACAAATGTATGAAATATTATAAACAAAACTTTTCAAAAAGTAAAGCACAGCACTAACAGTTCCAGAATGAAGTTTTCATATTTTTGGCCAGAAAAAACAACTTGGTGAAAGTGAGGAAAGGAGCTCGATGACTGTGGTTTTGCACAAATTCACATGGTTCGGAGCAACGTAGTCAAGGCGGGGGGCAATTGTTGTAAAGGAGCCTGCCCTAACTATAAAGCGCTGCGGGAAACACTGCCCCGATCACGGACGCGTTCCATCGTGAATATTAAAGAGCCGAGTCTTCTGTGTAGCTGCACATATAGTGGCTGAATGTAAACACACACAAATTGCACAAACTCAGTCGTGCACAGCTGCGCACCGAACCGAACGTCCTGTACCAAAACAGTTCAGCATGAATACATGTGCCATTACACCCGTAGTCCTTGGGCAAGACACTTAAGTGGTTCCTGGATATAAAGCACTTTGAGCCTTAAAGGTGGAAAATCGCTGTATAAAAATGTGACCATTTGACCATAAGAAGTTTTTTGAATGTTTATTTTCATGTAAACTGGCGCCGCATGACTTATTATTTTATACATTTTGTAGACAAATACAAAAACAATCTCTTCATGTAATAAAGTACATTTTATTTAGTTATTTCAGTACAGATACATTGTAAAAATCAGCTCTTAGGGTCAAAATAAGACTGCTGTGTGCTGTATAATTTATTTATTTATATTTATTTTTTTTTGTCTTCCGGAAACCAGGAAGTAATGCTGATGCGCTGTTAGCATGCTAGTTGTTGTCAGCTTTACCATGACTGCCCCACTCTGGCCTCTTAAAGTTATGAAAAGCACTTATAAGCCCATTGCTGTGGATAATTACGAGGCTCGGAATGCATAATGTAAATGAGGAATAACTTTGGACCACTGTAAACTGTTTAAAATGATTCTAGTTCTATTTTTCACGTTTTTAGGACAGTAAAAATCTGCACTTTTGAGGAAATGCCAGTGTGCCCTGTGTCACAGTGGATTTCGACCAGGCTCTCCAGTTTCCCCTGTCGTCCCAAAAGTGTTTTTCTTTTTAAATCAATTAAAAACTCCCACTTCTTTGAATTGCAGCTCATCCGAATCTCCGTATATTTCCTTGCGTTCCAGTCTCTCTTTACGCGGATGAGTTCTGTGTTACAGTAATGGGATTAAAGGCTTTTGGTTAAACCCACCCCTTTAATACGACAGAGCTCACCGCCTTCTTATTGGTGGATTAGGAAATCAAATGTCATTGGCTGATACACGTGGGAAAAAGCTCACTCACAATCTCAGTTCTAACGTGCAGTGAGTTGGATGAAAAGTGGCTATGTCTGATCATGATCTAATTTCTGGGGTTATCAGATTGTAAATATGTGAAAAGTGACATCCGTGTGAATCATGTTATTATTTTAAACCTTTTCTATCTTCATGGAGACCAAACCAGGCCAAGTTACAGGTCAGATCTGTGCAGAGACAACCCGCTCACAGTCAGAATACTTGTTTTTCTAGGTATTTCTGAGCTATAAAACCACATGTAATTGAATAAATAAGGTAAAGCTGTTTAATGTCATACTGTGGAACATTCCAGGCAGAGCAATGACATATCCGTAGAAACAATAGGTAACGGATTCCCAACCAAAAAGCTAAATAGTGCAACATTTATGCCCCATTGTACAACTTTTTTGGCAAACAATGAAAAAAAAAAAAAAAAAAAAAACTGGATGGAAAAACTGAGTGGGCTTGCATCTCCACAAACCTGACACTCACTTGGCCTTCTCCTGCTTGTTTCTATGGAGATGGTGTTTCTTTGGCTTTGGCCTTCGACAGTCTGGCATAAAATGTGTCTACCTCCATGGAGAACCAACGTATGGCTTTAACAGTCCAGGGAATCGGGCAGAAAGTTACATGGTGTTAATGAAAAAATGAATTTAAAATTTAAAATCTGATTTAATATTGCCACCGATCAATCCTAGGGATGTAACGGTATCCAAATTTTTCAGTACGATATTTTCATGCATCTTTTATTTCGATGTTTTGTAGAGGCGAACAACAATGTGAATATTCTACTTTTTCCTCTTAAAATGCCTTGACAAGATTTAATCCAAAGAACTAAGATTTAAAAGTGCTTATGGCAGTTATTTCTTTATGTGGTCTGCACTGAAACAGAGCAAAGGATCATGGTCTATGTAGTTCCCTCTGTTGTTTTGGCTACTGCTGCACCGTAACGATGAAATTAAGCAATCAGACTTGTAATTCACTATATTGTGATGGTCCACGATATTATTGAGACTTTTGACGGTACAATGTCACGATATTTCAGTTATTGTTACATCCCTAATCAATACGAGGACAGTGACAGTTTTTCCCACACATTGCCCCAGTTGTACCTGTATTAGAGCTGTCAATCATTCATTCCATTCATAACACGTGACACTTCAGATCAAAGTCCTAATCTGCTTTTTCCACATTCAACTTTAAAGAGACAGTAGCAGTAGTGTTACTTAACCACGATTTAAAAATTTTAATAAAAAATTTGACAGGAAGTTTTTGTTTGTTTCAACATTTCAATATTTTAGTTTAAGTCAAGATTTTAGTCCAATTATTTTTAGTTTTAGTATGGTTTTATTTGTTGAAATGTGTCTTGTTGCTAATTTTGTCGATTTTATTCCCGCACTTGAAACTGAAAATTATTGTTAAGCCATTAATTATTGGTGAGAAAGACCCTAATATTTCCTCCCTTTTATCAAATAGTTGACAAGATGAAGAAAAAAAAAAACATAGATTTTTGTGTAGTTTTTCAGTTTTTATAATTTATCTGTCAGCGGTTTAAGTGGAAATAACAATAAAAACAGACAAAATTAACACTGATAACAGAGAAGGATAATAGGAAGAATTATAATTTTGTTTATTTGTAATCCAATTTAATTAAACTTTTGGTTGTTTTCAGTCAGCAGGTTAGAAGAGCGAGAACTGGAGCTGAAAAAGGAATACAACTCCCTCCACCAGAGACACACAGAGGTAAAGTAAAAAGAAAGTTGACATTTGGCTATATTCATCATTCATTCATTCATTATTCTTCCTGTAATATCCATAAAAGTCATATTTCTTAACGTTTCCTTCTGCGTGTTCCAGATGATCCACAACTACATGGAGCACGTGGAGCGGGTCAAACTGCAGCAGGTCAGCGACGCCTCCGAGAACAGCGCCGTGGCCAGAGTCCGGTAAGTACTGATTTCTGAGTTTTTCTACCCCGTTATAACATTGTTCCCCCGTCAAAAACGTGCCTGAAGAGGTTGTAGACGTCATCCGTGCATGTCTGAGTAATCTAGGGATCTCTCGGCCTATTCAAACCCCCGTTACGGTTAGCGGTACGATCGCATCCAAAGCTCAGCCCGCAAAACTGCGTCACCCGTGCTCCAACGCGACAATTTTTCATGAACGTGACACAAAATTTTACACTACAGCTTCACAAACCTGACGCGATTTGCAGTAGTTTCATTAGCGGGATGCGTGCTGATTGTGTTGTGATGGCGCTCTGAAGTGGAAGTCACTTAGCATAGGGAGCAAAGGAAATTAAACTTATTAAACGTGATAATATGGAATATATGTTTCAAAACAATTGTAGGAAATATGTGCAGTGTTAGGCTTTCAGTTTGTAGGTAAATGTGTAGGTAAGTGCCTTGCCCGAGGACACAACAGCAGTAAGACCTAGTTAAAGCTAGTAGGAATCAAACCATCAACCATCGAGTTTATTGGATGACCACGTGCCCACTCAAACCATAGATCAGGGGTGTCAAACTCATTTTGGTCCGGGGGCCGTATCCAACCTACTTTGATCTCAAAGGGGCCGGATCAGAAAACTCATTTCATATAAACCCCAAAAATAACAATAACTTTAAATATTGTGCAGAGAAACACAAATCTATTACAGAAATCTTTTTGATGAACTGTAAGAAAAATATAATTTCAACACAAGGTTTTAACATGAACTTGTATGTAAACAGGAATAAGTCAATTTTTCTTGGAAAATCCTGCACTCATCTCCACTTTTTTTATTTTAACATTTTTCTGATGAGGGTGTCATGGTCAACAGTCAAAACGATCGTCCTTTATGAGCGTTTGGAAAGAGACAAGTCTTCATTTGTGCTGCTCTGGTGGGAGGGGCCACGTACAGAGACGCTGGAGACGCTGCTGTGATAAACACCACAGAAAATTAACAATATTTTAATAGAAAATATAATTACAATATTTTAGTAGAAAGTCAGCTGAGGGCCAGATTAAAGGTCTTGGAGGGCCGGATCTGGCCCCCGGGCCTTATGTTTGACACCTGTGCCATAGAGCTTTTTCGCAACGGTCGGAAGTGCCCCGCTGTAGGGTGAGCGGAACTTACGGTTAATATTTTTCCTGTAGCAAAATGTCTGTGGAAATAAACATCTTGTGTATTTTCCACCAGCTTCATAAATCTACCCCATCACTAGGGCTGGGTATCATCGAGAAGTTGCCGATGCGATACATACCTCGATACATAGGCCACGATACAATACATATCTCGATACTAAGGCTGGGTATCATTACGAAGTTGCCGATACGATACATACCTCGATATGTAGGCCAAAATACGACACATATCTCTATACCCTGAGCTTTCAATTCAATACGATTTGGTACGATATTTTTCAAATTGATTCGATACGATTCAGTACAAAATAAAGGCTAAGTCAAGGCTATGATACTAAAAGTCTTTGTTAAACCACTTCTTGTGCAAAGTTCATATGAAACACAAACATTTTAATCCTCAAAACAGTGAAAATGTCAAATGTGTCGCATAAAAGAGTTTTCTTCCTCTAAACTGTAGCTCTGTAACAAAATAATTTAGTAAAATATACCAAAAAATGCTCTTGGTGATATATCGATACAGCAGCCCACGATATTGATACTGTATCATCACAGTAAACAATACGATATATCGATATTTTTATATTTTTGCACACCCCTACTCGATACAGTGCACTTTCAGTTCAATACGATTCAACACGATATATTTCAAAACGATTTGATACGATTCAATAAAAATAAATCATGGCTGTGATACTAAAAGTCTTTGTTAAACCACTTCTTGTGCAAAGTTCATATGAAACACAAACATTTTAATCCTCAAAACAGTGAAAATGTCAAATGTGTCGCCTAAGTTTCCTTCCTCAGAACAAACAACAAAACTGTAGCTGTAACAAAATAATTTAGTAAAATATACCAAAAAAAATACTCGATACAGCAGCCCACAATATCAATACTGTATCATCACATTTAACGATGAAATATAATAATCGATATTTCAATATTTCAGTATTTTTGCACACCCCTACGCATCACCAAATCTTCATCCAACAAGATCGACAAAAAACATATTCTGTCCATGAAGAATTTATCCACAACTATCAAGGTAAGAAAGATGAAAACCTAAAGGTGAACAACAACGACGCATTAGTGAACTATTGAACAAAACTAACATTATGGTCATGAATAAAACATAAGTAACTTGTGAACTTGATTTCATGATGTGGATATTAACACAGACGGATAAATTTGTGCAGTTTAAATGTGAGACATGTAATCTGTAGCAACATCTGTAGCATTTAAACTGTGCAAATCTCTCTGTCTATGTTAATATTTACATCATGAAATACATTTTTTTTATTTTAATTCTAAAATCAGTCTGAGTTAACAAGTTACTTATTAATGAATTACGTTATTCATGACCATAATTTTAGTTTTGCTGACAAGCAGTTCTCTAATGCTCGTCGTTGTTTGCAGTTAAGTTTTTGTCTTTCTTACCTTGATAGTTGTGGATAAATTCTTCATGTTTATCCTTTGTCGGCCTTATTGGATGAAGATTTGGTGAAGGGGCAGATTTATAAAGCTGGTGGAAAATACGGAAGACATTTCCAGAGATATTTTGCCATAGAAAAACATTAACCGGAAGTTACGCAAACCTACAGAGCGGCACTTCCGGCCATTGCGAAAAAGGTCTCTGGTTTGGGTGACTCTGAACTAGTTCTTATTGCTGTTGTGTCCTCGGGCAAGGCACTTACCTACACACGTCTTTGCCTTGAAACTAAAATGGCTGTCGAAGTGGCTTATACGACCTGAAATGTTAAAAGCTTTAAGAAGTCCATTTAGCAGAGCATGTCTCCCTAAAGCTGAGTGTGTATTGATTTCGTTCCATCTGTCGCGTCCAGGAGGGAACGGCCGCTGTCCTTGGGCATCTTCCCCTCGTCTGGCGCCTCCTCTCTGCTCATCCCGGACCCCAAGGCCAGAGCGGAGACTCCGGCCACAGAGGGCTGGAGGTTCACCGACCCCGCCCAGGACCGCTCCAACACCAGCCTCAAGGTATGTGCTCAAAACTGAATCCATTTTTTTTTTTTTTAATAATACGGTCCATAATTGACAAAAGATATTGTTTATTGCTGGTGTGGTTGTGATGTAACTGCAATATCCAACTCCAGCAGAGGGCGCAAGGGCTTTATTTTCTGGTGCACTATGGATTTTTAAAATACAGAAGAGCGTCATGTACTAAGAAACTGTTTTACTCCAGTAGAAATACACTGTAAAATCAGCTTTTGGGGTCAAAATGAAACTGTTGTGTGCTGTCTGTGTTTAATTAGAATTCACTTGTAGTCTGCAAAGTAGGAAGTACCGTATTTTTTGGGACGATAAAGCGCAATATCAATGATGTTGAATTCTCTTGTCTATTTTCATACATAAATTGCACCGGATTATAAGGCACATTAAACGAAACAAATGGACGACACTTGAGACTGATCCTTAGTCCAGACGTCCACGAGCCATCGGTAGATTGTGGCGTAACTCGCCCGGCGTTGCCTCCATGTCTTGGTGAATGTGGATTATAAATGTGAATGTGGGTGGATAATTTAATTTTTTTTTTTTTAATCTCTTACGAGGACAACTCAAATATACAGGTACATTGAGTAATCATGTGTTTAATGCAGCTTTACGCACATTTGTTTACGTTTTACAGAAACAAAACTTAAAACCACATGGCTCATTTGCATAAACTATAAGCTCTGAAAAAAACGGCTCGCTCCTTGTGCACTGATACGGTTCAACTTCTGTCGGACTCCGCGAGGCTCCTGACTACAGTCGCTGTAATGCTCCGACAATCTATCAAGTGGCGCGGCTTCGTAGATTACCAAAGTTGTACTTTGACAGATTTTGACAGATTTTTGAGCGGCGTGTACCACATAAAATCAGTTCGAGGTCAGTAAGCACAACCAGAATTAATACATAAGGCGCACTGGATTATAATGCGCACTGTCGATTTTTGAGAAAATTAAAGGATTTTAAGTGCACCTTATAGTGCAAATTTTCACATTTTTAAGACGGTAAAAATAAGACACAGCTTTCTCAAAATGTATTTATTTTCTCCAAATGGCAGTCATAAATGATAATTAACTGCCAAAATAATCAGTCACATATGTTGGCAAACAAAAGGCACTCTTACCTGATTTTTTTCTGTCTTAAAAATGTGAAAAACAAAACTAGAATCCTAATTATTCACCGTAATGAGTTTATATGCGCCATACACAAGTTTCAGAGACCAGAGCGGCCATTTTATGTGATCATAAAGCTAACAACTAGCATGCTACTGCGAACCTTCTGATTTCCACCAATAAAACTCGTGATAATGAGATACAGATGGCACACAGCTGACTTATTTGGACCACAAGAGCTGCTTACTCAAGACAGTTTTGCTGCAGTACAAGGGGAAAAATGTAGTACAGTTTTGTGGTTTAAAATGAAGAAATCTTGTATTTCGTGACAGTTTCTCCAGGCGATGTAACAGAAGCAGGTTTGTGTTTGCTGCTTGTAAAAATAGCCTCTTTGATGAAGCTAGGATGAGCTCAGGCTCGTTTTATCGCAGATCTGACAGGGCCATCTTTGTCTCTGCCTCCTCCCTGTGCCCAACGCCGAGACAGGTGCAGCAGCGAATGTCGACATACACGAGAAGTGACTTTACAAATGGTTTATATGTGCACAAATAATCAACACAAAACTACGGATGACAGGTTCAGATGGATGCAGAAATGATATACAGTCAAGATTATTTTTGGTGTCGATAATAATACACAAGTAATACACAAAAGTCCTCATTCATTTTCCTCACTGACTTTCTGAAAAATAGATATTGAAAGCCAGTTAATTTAATTTAATTTAATTTAATTTAGTTTTGCATTGATCCACACACAAAAAATCTTAATGAGAAGATATTGGAAGCCAATTAATTTAATTAATAATTATTTATTTAATTAGATTTTTTTGTATTCAATTATTACAAAATTTTTATTTATTTATGTAATCTTGTTTTGTTATTGTTTTGAAAGATGATTAATTTATTTGTTTTTTATTTTGCATTAATTAATTTTTTTTAAATTAAATTTTATTATTGAATATTTATTTATTTGTTAGTTTATTTATTATTTATTTATTTTATTTAAATTTATGTAATCTTTTTGATATGGTCTTGAAAACCAATTAATTTAATTTAATTTAATTTTTATTTATTTATATTACTTAATTATATTATTTATTTATTTATTTATTTATTTATTTTTTATTATTTATTTATTATTTATTTTTTACTATTTATTTGTTTTTATTTAATTTATTTATTGTAATGGATTTATGTAGTCTTGTTTTCTTATTGTTTTGTAATGATCCACATTTAAGTTTGCTTACCAAAATATAAACTGAGATAAAAATATAAATTATATATTTATTTATTTATGTATTTATTTATTTCCCCAATGGTTCTTCCCAGCTGCTTATCTTCTCTTATATCTTTAAACCCTCAAAAAATGAAAAAATAAATAAATTATCTACAAGGGCACTATTCTGTGGCTCTATACTCTCCAATTATTTCCTTACAACTGCTAAGAAATATTCAGCTCCTTTGTGTGTAAGTAATTCCTTAAGGGTCGTGCCACATTATTCCGTCCCTCTGTCTCTTCTTTCTCTGCTGAAACTGGGACGGAGGCTTGTGCTGCAGTGCATTGTGGGAGATGAGTCGCTGTATGGCTGGAGGCCAGAGGAGAGCTCTCTGCGTTCTGATTGGTTCTCGTGTCATCCCTGTCTTTACATGAGTATTTACTATTATGAATCATGGAAGAACACATCCCTGGTTTATAATGTCTGACGTGACAAAGCAGATTTTCTATCTAGTTAAATTGTGATCAAGATATTCTCACAAAACCTTAAAGTATAACCAATAGGGATGTCGAAAATCTGATGCTAATCGATACTGAAATGAGTACAGAAACTAGATACTCATTTGAGCAGGTATTGGTACAAAAAGTCATAGAACAGAAATTAATCTTTACCCAGAATTTACACCAGGAGCGACAGCAGCATGTTTTGTAGGCAGAGGTGCATACGTGCGTGTACTTTTTAAAGCTTCAATTTACACCAGAGCTGCTCCTGCGACGCCAACCTCTGTATTTTCTCACGTCAGAGTCCTGCACCGGGTCAGGTATAAACAAATAGTTGCTGAAACGGGCTGGTTTTAATGTTCTGGGATTTTACTTGCGGGTCAGGACTGAACCAGGACTGAACCAGGACTCAAGAACCCCTGCACCAGTGGAGCTACACTTAGCTCCATGATCTGCACCGGTGCTTTCGCCTGCGGTCACCCAACGGTCTACGTGGGCGCACCGCTGAGAGTCGGAGCCCGTCCAGACAGTTAGTCCTGGGTTAGTCCTGGGTTAGTCCTGGGTTAGTCCTGGGTTAGTCCTGATTCAGTTCTGAGTTAGTTCTGAGTTAGTTCTGGTTTAGTCCTGGTTCAGTCCTGAGTTAGTCTGGGGTTAGTCTGGGGTTCAGTCCTGGTTTAGTCCTGGTTTAGTCCTGGTTCAGTCCTGGTTCAGTCCTGGTTCAGTCCTGGTTTAGTCCTGGTTTAGTCCTGGTTTAGTCCTGGTTAGTCCTGGTCTAGTCCTGGTCTAGTCCTGGTCTAGTCCTGGTCTAGTCCTGGTTCAGTCCTGGTTTAGTCCTGGTTTAGTCCTGGTTTAGTCCTGGTCTAGTCCTGGTCTAGTCCTGGTCTAGTCCTGGTCTAGTCCTGGTCTAGTCCTGGTCTTAGTCCTGGTTTAGTCCCTGGTCTAGTCCTGGTCAGTAGTCCTGGTCTAGTCCTGGTCTAGTCCTGGTTCAGTCCTGGTTTAGTCCTGGTCTAGTCCTGGTTCAGTCCTGTTAGTCTGGGTTAGTCTGGGTTAGTCTGGGGTTAGTCTGGGGTTAATCTGGGGTTCAGTCCTGGTTCAGTCCTGGTTCAGTCCTGGTTCAGTCCTGGTTTAGTCCTGGTTTAGTCCTGACCTGCCTGTGTGTAATCACTACCCGCTCACATACCCACCCATAAAATTCCAGAACGTTAAAACCCGCCCGTTTCAGCAACGATTTGCCCGTCCCCGGTGCCGGACTCTTCTACAGCCGCGTAACTTCTCCCTTCTTTCAGCTTGTCCAGAAGTCTAACTTTTTGTGCGATAGTTTGCATCTTATTCTGCCTTTTGGGTGCGACCGCAGGAGCCTTTGTCGGTGCAGAACGTTTCGTCGACATTGTGGGTTTTGTCGGGGAGAAAACTTGCCAACATACAGCACTTCAGAATCACACTGTTAGAGATCCAACATTTATGTACATTTCACAAGCTGAACACATTCTGTACTGTGCAGGAGACAAGGCACGGAGAAGATTGATTAACAATGGTCTTCAATCCTTTAACCAATCAGCATGCAAAATTTCACCAAAAAAATCCGTGAAACTGCGAGGCCGCGAAAGGTGAAACACGAGGGGTGACTGTACCATATTTTCCCAGTTTTGTGAGGAAGGAATTAATCACCTGCCCCAAATTGCCGCCTGGTCTCAAATAAAAGCCTGGTCTGTTAAGTGACTGAAACAAATAAACGCCCGGGCTATTATTTGGTATTTCACGGTGATAATAAAGCTTTACTCAAACATGTGTGAATGAAACAAAACACAACTCCAGGTCTGTTTTTGAGGACATTAATCAATCCACAAACATCAATTTTGCGTGACAACAAACTATAATTTCTTGTTATTCCCACCAGTAGCATCAAGAACATTTTATGACACTACGCTGACTTTTGTTCCGATAACTCTGCTCCATCCATTCCAATGACACGCCTCGCTTTTTTTTACATCTATGCCCGGCTTCACTGTCCCTCTCCCCTTTACCTCCTCTCCTCTCAGCTGGACTTCACGGAGCTCCCCAGGGAAAGGGAGGGTAAGCCCGCGCAGGACTCCACCCCCTGGGGCTCTTCTCTGGCCGACGACTGCAAGGTGAAGGGGGGTAGTACCTCTGTGTGGCCTGTAGGGGGCACTGTGGTGTCTGTGTGTTCTTGTAGACTCATCCGCTGCGCTGGTTCCTCTGTTCAAACGCACCGCTGCTGTGTCATTCTGTGCTCTCATGGACTCACTCTTTTCACACACATTGGCTCTGTGGTGTTTCATAACCAGATCCGTGCTCCATGCAACCTTATCCCGGTGTTAAGGATGTACAGTTTTGACGGTAATAATATTTTGACAGCGTTTTACAATTGTCATAATCACTGCCATCATGGCTAAAAGGTTCAAGGTTATTTATTTGTTGTTCAAGCATCCGAGAGAAACACATGACCGAAAGAAATTTGTTCCCCAGTGATTAAAAGAGACAAGAACAATAATAATAAATAAGCAATATTAAAAAGTACATTTAGTGTATTTAGCAGTTCCGGTCTAGCCAGGCTGGTGCCACCTAGTGCCTCCGCTCAATTTCATTTCTTGCCAGCGACTAGGTCAGGAATCAAAATACACTAGACCAGGCATGTCCAAACTACGGCCCGGGGGCCAAATGCGGCCCTCAGACAAATTTTTCTTGGCCCTCAGGCTTCCAGGTGAATTGGCCCAAATTACCTTGCCTCAGTTAAAAAAAAAAAATAAATTACTGCAGTTTTTTTGAAAATCTACCTTCAGAAAGCGAATATTTAATATTTCGTTTGTGATTTTAAGGATCTTAGCACGAAAGACTGATGGCTCATTGTAACGTGTTAAACATGCACATATTTCATTTATTCACTGTACTGAGCACCAGTCTACAGCCCTTGAACAGCTCTCTGCTTCGTCTGTGTTTAGATATGTGGCCCTTGATGAAAAAAGTTTGGACACCCCTGCACTAGACGGTTCGCAAAAATCCCGGAAGTGCAAGTTCAGGCACTAGCCAATCAGTGAAGAGCCAGACATTCTGTGTTTGGCAACGATTCCTGAGATCGAGGATTTAAAGCCGGAACAAAGAGAATGTTTGGTGAATTTTATCAAGGGGAAAGATGTTATTGTCCTCCTTTTCTTCCTATGGGATTTGGAAAAAGCTTAATATACCAGTTAGTTCTGTTGTGGTGCATTACATATGTCACGACCAAATAGCAGCGATTGGTTAAATAAAAAAAAAGTACCCGCGTACTGTCAAGTGAACAAATTCAATACTGTGAGGTCAGACGAATCAGGCTAGTTCCAGTAGACAAGTACAAGTAAAACAAGTGGCAAGATAAGGTGGCAGCCTAAGCAGGAAGTCGGTGTGCACTGTATTTCATTCACAATGTCCTTAAATTGTTCAGACTTCCACTTTAAAAACAATGCAGTTGAAACCTGCACTGTAAAAATGTAGTATTTAAGAGCAAAACTAACAATTACAGCCCACTTATTGTCAACAAAATACTGGGTCAAAAGATTTAAGTTAGAACAAAAAAGAAAAAGTTATATAGCCAAATATATTTTTTTCATTTTATTTTGACAGGCATTTATTTAGGTAAGTTACAAAAAAAAAAAATGCAAATGTAGAATGAAAAATGAAAAATAAATAAATAGATAAATAAACTCAGAACTTCCAGAATTCCCTCACTGAGCTGCAAAGTGCTGGGTTTAGGTAGTGCCCGTTCAGATCAGAGAAAGGCATTTCATGCTTAAACACACAGGATTTCAGCATTGGAACTGATTGGAAATGGAGTGTGAATTGGGCCAAAATTTTCTGTCCAAGCCTGGCCCACGTCCGACAGAGCAGTGATCAAATCCGACCCAAGCCGGATAAGCATTAAGATATTTGTGTCCAAACCAGACACAATTAAAATCACACTATTTTCATAGGACTAATAATGACACACATAGGATGTTGTTAGTGTTCCTCTAACGGACACAGAGACGCAAAATACAAACTTGCGATAAAGTGAAAATAATGAGAAGACTTTATTCCTCACCTCTCGTAAAGTGGTAAATTTAAAGTGCAGCATCTCATCCACATTATCCATAGAAATTGTCCTCCTCAAATAATGACATCCAGTTCACAAAACCTTGCTGTGAATCCAGTTTGAGGCTTTATTTAAAAGTAAAAAGGCCAGAGTAGTTCCTCACGTGTGTTTGTTTACATCCACACAGCGCACGGATCGAGGTGAAGCTGCAGATTAGCGATCGAGACTCTGCTTCCTGTGGACTTAATCGCCAATCTTTTATGCTTTACAAATCATGTCTCTGACGTTTTTGCACCACATTTTACAAATAATAATAACAACACAGTTTTGACTAGAAGTGCAGTGCTCTGATCTTTTGAACTTCGGTTGGGTTTCCATGCTCTAATTGGAACAAAGATCAAAAAAACCAACAAGCTTATTTTCCAAATAAATAAAGTACATCCAAAACCAAAAACCAAAAAAACTAAACAAATGAGAGATGGGGCCAATTCTGTTTTCTGATCATAATAGTAACGCCAAATATTTTTGCGATTAACAATACATCAACATTAGAAACATTACAGTATATTTACTTAGATTATATTTACTGAATATATTTCTGACGTTTATTAAATTAAAAATCAAAAAAACGATAAAAATGTAGTTCCTTTTTTTTTCGACTGTGAAATCCTCGTATTGTCACATCTTCACTGACAATTGCAAAACCAAAATCCTGACGCCAGTTGTATAAATTCCAATAATTCTGTTGAAAAAAAAGTACATGGTTGCATCGAGCACTTTATGTCGTTTTACTGCATTATCACATTGTATCACGTTGACATTTGCTCCATACTTATACTTCACTTTTCCGACACTTATCATGAAGCCATTGTAGTTTTTCTCACTCTTAGAACAGTTTTAGCGTTCTTTTTCGTGTTTTGTAGAGTGTTTGTGCTGTACTTTTGAAATCGTGGTCATTATTTCTTGCTGTGTGTGTGAACGCCGCAGTATTTACCTCGCACTTTTGATCTGTTTAATTCATTTGATTATATTTGATATATTTTCTGCAGTGTTTCTTCTGTTCTTAAGTGTAGCTCTTCTCAGTTTGGATTTATGGAGTTTTGTTTTTGTGCAGTGTTAATGCAGTGTTTCCCAACCTGGGGTGCGCGGGTCATTAGGGGTTTGTGGAATATTTAATACAAACTTTAATTACAAATTTATACTTAGATTTCAGCTTATTTATCTTGAATTAGTGCAAATAACCAAATAAACTGCTACTACTACGACGACTACAACTACGACTACTATGACTACTATGCCTACTACTACTACTATTAACTACTACTATTAACTACTACAACTACTACGACTACTACGACTGCTTCTGCTACTACGACTACTACGACTGCTGCTACTACTATTAACTACTACTACTATGACTACTACGCCTACTACTACTACTATTAACTACTACTACTATGACTACTACGCCTACTACTACTACTATTAACTACTACTACTATGACTACTACGCCTACTACTACTACTATTAACTACTACTACTATGACTTCTACGACTACTACGACTGCTTCTGCTACTATGACTACTACTACTGCTGCTACTACTACGACTACTACTACGACTACTACTACGACTACTACTACTACAACTACTACTACAACTACTACTACTACTACTACGACTACTACGACTGCTTCTGCTACTACGACTACTACTACTACAACTACTACTACTACTACAACTACTACTACGACTACTACTACTACAACTACTACTACAACTACTACTACTACTACTACTACGACTGCTTCTGCTACTACGACTACTACTACTACAACTACTACTACTACTACGACTACTACTACTACAACTACTACTACAACTACTACTACTACTACTACGACTACTACGACTGCTTCTGCTACTACGACTACTACTACTGCTGCTACTGCTGCTACTACTACGACTACTACTACGACTACTACTACTACTACTACTACTACAACTACTACTACTACTACTACGACTACTACGACTGCTTCTGCTACTACGACTACTACTACTGCTGCTACTGCTGCTACTACTACAACTACTACTACTACAACTACTACTACTACTATGACTACTACTACTACAACTACTACTACGACTACTACTACGACTACTACTATGACAACTACGACTATGACAACTACGACTACTACTACTACGTGCGAATGACCAAATAAACTACTACTGACTGAATGTACTACTACAACTATGACGACTACTACTAATACTATGAAGACTACAACTACTACTACTATGACGACTACTACTAATACTATGAAGACTACAACTACTACTACTATGACGACTACTACTACTACTATGACGACTACTACTACTATGACGACTACTACTACTACTACTATGACGACTACTACTACTATGACGACTACTACTACTACTACAATGACCACTACATGCAAATGACCAAATAAACTACTACTCACTGAACTCACTGAACTACTACTACTACTACTACTACTACTACTACTACTACTACTAACTGACTGAGTAAACTACTATTACTACCATTACTACTACTAATTGCAAATCACTTCTAGGTCACTTAGTATATCTAAAAACTTGATGATTATTTAGCTTTAAATGTAAAACGGTAAACAAAATCACATTTTTGGCTTGCAAGACAAAACGTTGGGAAGCACTGTTGCTCTGTGTCGCTCATGTATTTTGATGTTTTTTAATTTCAGCTGCATTTTTCCCTGCAGATCCCCTGAGAATCATGTGCAGTTGAATAAATCCCAGTAGTGATCACTTAAATAACTGTGTTTTGTTCTTGCAGGACGAGTTTTCAGACCTGCCCGGTTCACAGTCCACCTCACAGCGAGAGGACGGGAGCAGGAGTACAGAGGTGCAGGCTGCTCCCGGGACCAGCTCCAAATCAGTTGGTACGGACAAGTCGCTCTTTTCATTCACGTGGAACATTAAACTTGTGTAGTCGTTTTTGTGTTAAAAGAAAACACTCGACCCAGTCTGTCAAACATGCCATAATGTAAGCCTGAGGTAGAGCTGAGGTTGACCCAAATTTTATCGGGCTCAATCTGAACCACACACTGTATAAAAAAGTGAACTACTGTAATTTCCGGACTATAAGTGTCAGGGAATTTACCCTAAGACATCAAATTACATTAAATAAAGACACACCAAAACGAGACAGTTAAAAGTAATCACTTGCGCAAGGGAGAGAGAGCTGTCAGAGCCTGTCAATACCACTGGCTGAGCCTCTCTACTCTCCCAGCTCTCCTCCCAACAGCAGGTTTTATTGCAGTCATTTCACAGATAACAATACAGTACATTATGTTATATCACACAACGTTTACAATGATCACATGCTAACAATCTTTAGGCTAAACCACCCTCCCATTTCACACTTGATTACAGGCTCCAGGTGATAAACAATTTGGTCAGTTTTCTCCCAAAAACTTATGCTGACCACATGAGGGAAAAAACCCTTAGCTGTCTTCTCATGGGCGACTCAGTAGATTAGTTTAATGAGTCAGGAGTTCTTGAACTAGGACATATGATATACATATGGAAAAACCCAAAAACGCAATTGTTGATAACTTTAATCACACACACAAATGATTATGATTTTAAATGATTCATAATATTTAAAATAACACATAAATTCTTTCACAATAAGTCTCTACTTTTTTATCACACTATGAACCCTGCGGTTAATAAAACGATACGGCAAATATATGGACGGATTCTTTGTTTGGCACATTGTCCATTCATATATACAGTCTATGTTTTGGCAACACAATAGAGTGTAGAAAACGCCGCTGTCTGTGCGGTTTACACATGGATCTAGGGTTCACATGAAGTTGAAGTGTTAGTTAGTGATGTTGTCAGCACACTCAAACAGTTTATCACCATATGAGAAAATAAGTTATGATGCTAAATGAACATTAATGAGGGCGATACGTCTTACCCGTATGCATAAATGACGAGAAGAAACGTCTCAAACTTCAGTAGCCGGACATCCACTCATACCTGATTGACACAACTAACCAAGCCCTCCGAGAGAGTCTGAAATCTGCAGAAATCCTCTAAGACACTGACATGATACAGACAGGACAGAGGCTCTTTCTGCAGGAGACATGCGCAATAGAGCGTGGGGTGATGCGCCAAGGAAGATTCTAGTTTGATTGTGTTTTGAACAGTTATTTTGCACTTCATACACACATGCTCCTCATGGAAAACACATGAAAAAAATCATATGATGCAGGTTTTAAGTTAAAGACAACTGACATGGCTGTTGAGGAAGGAAACAGAGCTGCTGCACGTGAACTCGGCATCAGTGAGTCGATGGTGAGACATTGACGTGACGAAATGACTCAATTTTGTTAAAATTGAGTTGATGCGGCTTATATTCAGGTGCGCTCAATAGTTCGGAAAATATGGTATACAGTCTGTGATCTGAACTCATATCCCTACTAGGGGTGTGCAAAAATATTGAAATATCGATATATCGTATCACTTAATGTGATGACTCAGTATCGATATCGTGTATCAATATGTCAATGAATATATTGCCAAGAGTATTTTTTGGTATATTTTACTCAATTATTTTGTGACAGAGTTACAGTTTTGTTGCTTGTTTACAGGAAGGAAGCTCGTTTATACAACACATTTGACATTTTCACTGTTTTGATGAGTAAAATGTTTGTGATTCATATGAACTTTGCATTGTCATTTTTTGTGTCTCATTGATTTTTCTGTTTTGACTTGTTTGTGCAGGTTTAGGTGAGAATGAGGACAGCTCGGACGTACAGGACATCATCGAGTCCACGCCGGAGCTGGACATGGACCTCATCGGCTACAGACCGTGCAGGTGGGACTGTACTACTGACATGACTGCCATAGTAATACCCAATTCTTACCCAATCCATCGTCCAACAAAATTACGGACTGACAGTAGGGGTGTAACGATATCCAAGTTTCATGATACGATATTGTCACGGTATGAACCTCATGGTACTATATTTATTGCGATATGGTGGGGGGGCTCATGATTAGGGATGTAATGATATCTAAATCTCCCTGTACGATGTTTTCACGAAATACATTTCACGGTACGACATTTATTGCGATATTTTGTGGAGGCTAACAAAACTGTTATGCTACTTTTTTTCTCTTAAAATGCCTTGACAAGACTTATCCAAATAACTAAGACTTAAAAGTGCTTAAACTGTTATTTCTTCATGTAGTCTACACTGAAATGGAGCAAAGGATCATGGTCGATGTAGTTCCCTCTGTCTTTTTTTTTTTTTTAGCTATTGCTGTACCATAACTCTTCATTTAAGCAAAGAGACTTGTAATTCGATATATTGTGATGGTCCACGATATTATTGTGAGAACTTTGACGATACGATATCACAATTTTTTTTTATTGTTACATTCCTAACTGACAGTATTTTGAATGTTAAAAAAACTAATACCAAATCATAAGGTGAGTGGAAAGGGTTAACATTTCATATCTAGCCCTAAAAGTCAATTCTACACGTGTAGGTGCCATAAAGTCATGGGAAATTCACTTTAGGTCATGAAAAAGTCCTGAAAAAGTTTCGAAGTTTTGTGAAAAAGAGTGGGAACCCTGTCAAAAAGTCCAACCTAATGACCGGCACACAGAAAGACAGATACCCTTTGGGTCTCAGTCAAAGGTCTCAGTTCAGTTTAACAGGTGCACTGGTCAGGGAGGGTCAGCGGATCCTGTGGAAGAGCCAGAAGTGTTCCTCCTCTGTGTCCTGCAGCATCACAGCTGTGTCCACTAGAGCCAGGTGAAAACAACAGGAAAAGCCTCATTCTTACTTATGGTGCTGCATAACATCAACAGAAAAATCTCATGTCAACAATGAATGTTAACTCTCAAAACGGTGTTGCCTGGATCGAAACTCCTGACCAATCAGAGCGCTCCTTTGACAAAGACGTCCAGCACAGAGACACACTGCCCATAGCGCCCCCATTTGCCTGTGATTGGGGCATAAATTGGGCACATTAGGGTGCACTGGTCTCTAATCTTGTTCAGTCCTGGTTTAGATCTTGTGCCGTCTTTTCGTGCTCCGTACACCTTCATGACTCCCTCTTTTCTGCTCGTCTCTTCCAGTACTCCCACAAAGGGCATCGAGAACAAGGCGTTTGACCGGAACACAGGACTCTCTGTTCGAGGAGCTGTCGTCTGCCGGCACGGGGCTCATAGGTGATGTGGACGAGGGGGCCGACCTGCTAGGTGAGTATTTTCACTGGTGAACGTTTTCTAATCTTTTCACACATTTACTCGAAGTTCAATGGTAAAAAATAACAGATTTTTTTTTACAGACTTTTAAAACTTTTGATCACATGGGCATTGGAGCATCTCGTTTTGCAGTTTTGAAATGATATGAGCAATAATCTGTTAAGAGTATGGCGCCCTCTGTTGGCAATAGTGGGCATTGAGCAAAGACACAAAACACAATTAATCTTGGTAACACTTTATAATAACTACACCTTATTTAGCCTTAACAAAGCATGAACAAAGGCTTAATTAATAATGAACAAAGACTTAATTAATAATGATTCACACTTAGTAACTACTTAATTACTACCTTAATTAGCACTTGCACTTAATTTGCCTGTGTTGTAAATAGTTACTCATAATTATTTCATACTTAATTACTCATGAACTAACCAGCATTTATTAATCATTTGTAAACTATGAGAGAATGATTTACTAATAATACAATGCAATGGTAATTCAGGCAGCTGTTATCTGTTAGTTAAGTCTTTTTGAGAGCTTTTCTAAAGTGAAGACTAATTATGCTTTATTAAGCATTTACTAAGCGTGAATCATTATTAATTAAGTCTTTGTTCATGCTTTATTTAGGCTAAATAATGTGTAGTTATTATAAAGTGTTACCTTAATCTTTAACAAATTCCCTGGCATAACTACAACTAAATATTTGATTAAAATTACGCTAAATTATAGGAGGGTCCAACACCTTCTTGTCTCCATGGAGATGTTATTGCTGTACCTTGAATGTTCCACAATATGGACTCCGCACAAGAAAATTATCAGTGTAAAGTAGATTTGTTTACCTCGTATCTGGGGAGACGGGTCGGACATGTTGATGGAATTCAAAATCATATGTTGTTCCTTTTTAAACCAGGTTGGTGCAGATGAGCCTACATACTGTATATCACATTTGCATAATATGTCTCCTGGATTATTTGTCATTATTTCTTGCTTCACCGGTGTTACTGAGCCATCTCGCCACGTTAACATCACGTCTCTCTCCCCCCCTCCCTCTCTCCTCTCATCCTCTGCTTCTGTCCATCATTGCAGTGGAGTATTCTGGTGTGTATAACTCATATTATCTAAACCGTCTCTTCTTTTCTGTCCCATTCAGCCATTGACATTATCATTCAAAATCATAGCTTCTTTATTAGCTTCTTTTGCAGCACCACAATGACGTTTTTAATGGCTACGACAGTTTTTAAAGTTTGTGCATGCGTAGGTTATTCAGTACGGTATCTCAGGTTGGGCTGAATGATTTTTTATTTTTTTTTCCCAAATTTGATTTATTTAATATATTTTTTTTAAATTATATATTTTGATGTATTTTAATATATTTATTTATTGTATTTATTAAAAACAACAACTAAATAAATATAAAGCACCCCTTGAATTGTGCCATGTCATTTTCAACAAATAACTTATAGTAGGGATGTAACGATATTCAAATTCCTCGGTACGATATTTATTGCGATATTTTGTAGAAGCTAACAGAATTGTGAATGTACTACTTCCTTTAAAAATGTCTTGACAAGCCTTTGGTTCTATCATAAACCAAAGAGTTAAGTTCTAAAAGTGGATAATAAGTAATTTCATTGGACTGAAACAGAGCAGAGGATCATGGTCTATGTAGTTCCCTCTGTTTCTTTTAGCTGTTGCTGCACCAAATCATTTGTTTTTATTATATATATTTTAAATTATTTATTTATTTTATTTTTTATATTTAATTAAATTGTTATTTTTTTAATTTAATTTATTTTTTATTATTATGTATATTTTTTATTTATTTTTTTTGCACCAAAACAATGAATTTAAGCAAAGAGACTTGTAATTCGATATATTGTGATGGTCCACGATATTATTGAGAGACTTCTGACGATAGGATGTCATGATATTTCTGTTATTGTTACATCCCTAACTACTAGTAATCCAAGAATCCCATGTATTTGTAGTGGTAATCATAATAATCATAATAATATTCAAATTGTGATTTTAATTTCATTTGGAAGAATCATTCAGCCCTTGTCTCAGGTTTTGCTAACTCTTCTTTTCACAGCGAGAGCGTTTTCTGCAGTTTTTCTTTACTCTGCTGTGGTTTTAACCGTGATAACTCCAAAGCCAAACCGCACCTGTTTCTCTTTGCTAATGGAGCCTGTGGTCAGTTTTGTTGGCCTGGTTAGCCACACCACATCCTCAGTGTTTTCTGTCGAGAAGTAGACAAGCCTAAAGTCGCCTGGCACAGATGAACGTGGCATTATAATGTGGGATTAACAATTATAAACTTAACCTTTTACAGAATGTTGTAGCCTATACCTGTTTATTTAAAAAATCATTATCATGATTATTTTGGTCAATATTGAAATTACGATAATTCAAACGATTATTTTTTTAGTTGCTCGATGCATTTATTCAGCATTTCAGCAAAAAACAAAACAAAAAAAAAACAAAGTAAAACAAACAAACCCCCCCCCCCCCAAAAAAAAAAAAAAAAAAAACACTTTGTTATTAATAATTTACGCAAAACTTTCAAATTAAAATAAATATAGGCTACAAATATGAACCTCAGAGCAGTTTTGGGATGTAAAAAAATGAATAAAATATACTTTGAACATGAAATAAGGCGTAGAAAAACATAAATGTTTCCAAAATAAACTATATATCCAGCTGTTCTACTATATCTACATTAAAAAATTAAATAAATATACTTATTTATATTTTTTAAATCCCCAAATAAACTTTAACCTTTATTGTTTCAACTCAATTGTATGAGTTTGACTCACAAATCGAAATCAAGATCAAAATTCGATTAATTGCACTGCCTTAAAATGTTTCCTTATTAAAAAACATTCCTGAAGAAGTTTTGAATATTATAATTTTTATTTGGTGATCTCTCCAGGACCCTGACACAATGTGCAGTAGTTTCAATAACCAGCTATATCTCTTATATTGTATCTATAAAAAAATATATGATCTCATAATTTGTCAGTAAAAGTCCCAGACCGGCTCTCTGTAGAATACAGTGACAAAGACACACGGCTCCAGACTCCTCTCTGACCCTGGCTCCTCCATGTTTGTTCATCTCACCTAAACTATCTGCACATTTCTCTCTCTTTGTCCTCCTGCCTGACATGGATTACTGCATGGTTTATCAGACCTTAGTTTGATTGGTAAGACCTCTCCCTCTCTACCATCCTTCTCTTTCCCCAGTGCTCTATTTCCCCTGTAGATTTTTCTAATAGTGGTGTGTAGTCACTTGTAGATGCATGTGTTTTTTTGTAGTTAGGTATGACCAGGCATAACAATATGAGCATTAATAATCAGCCTTTGGACAACTTGGTGATTGTATTTCATATTGTATAACATTAATCACACTGTCCTCTGCATTTTACCCCTTTTTCAATGTAGAGGAGACAACCTGCTCAGTTACTATTAGAAATCATTTAAATTTATTCCAACAAATATATTTAAAATGTAGGTTTAAAGCTGAAGATACTGCATCTTTTGTGCTGATCAGGACTCTCTAGATCTGTGGAGGAACTCTGTCCAGAATAGTGTGTGAAGTGAAGTAGTGAAAATGACAAAGATCGTTATGATATTTAAGAATTTGAGCAAATGTGTATAAAACCGTTCATCCCGTTAGTTGTTCTCTGACTTTTCCTGTTGGTGGCCATACTGTTATGCCTGGTTGATAGATGATTGAAGTCATAAGTCAGTCAGTAATTGTCTCCCTGTGTATTATTTTTGTGGTAACTGTGTTTTTTTTAAACTAAAAGGCATGGGCCGTGAAGTGGAAAATCTCATTCAGGAAAATTCGCAGTTACTTGAAACAAAGTAAGAACGACCGTCTTATATACCCACCACACCAATATATCACGTGATTCACTCCTTGTAATTTTTTTGTTTTTAGGAACGCTCTAAACGTAGTGAACAAAGACCTGATTCTGAAGGTGGACGAGCTGACCTGTGAGAAGGAGGTCCTGCAGGGCGAGCTAGAGGCAGTGGTCCAGGCCAAAGCCAAACTGGAGGAGAAGAACAAAGACCTGGAGGAGGAACTCAAAAAGTATGGAATTCAAATTATCTGTACTGATTTGATTTGACAAAAATGTTGCCAAAATCTCCTGTGATGAAACAATTGTTTGATATTTACTGTACTTCTGTGTTTCAGAGTGAGGCAAGAAGTGGAGGAGATTAGACAAAAAACCCAAGATGAAGAAGATGTGAGTATCAGACACAGTGGTCCCTCGTTTATCTCGGGGGTTAAGTTCTAAAAATAACCCACGATAGGTGAAATCAGCGAAGTAGTCAACGTAATATTTTACAATTATTATATCTATTTTAAGGCTGTAAAACCCCTCACCACACACTTTATACATTTTTCTCAGACAGGACATTTACAACACTTTTTGCATCCTTCTTAAAACTTATTGCTGCTGTCGCCCTTTTGTTATTTTCCTCTTTTATGTAAGGAACCAAAGATTAATTTATTCCGTATTGAAGCGTACCCGCGCAGTCCAGCACCGCACCCGCCCGTTAACCCGAGATGATATCAAACTTTTGCGCTGCCTACACCACGGACTGAACCAAGACTAACTAATCCAGAACTAACCTAGGACTGATTCCAGGACTGAAGAGGAGGATTAAACCAGGACTGAACTAGGACTAAAACAGGACTAAAACAGGAGTAAACCAAGACTAAACCAGAACTGAACCAGTACTCACGATCGAGACAGGCTCGGAGGTGACCGCAGGAGAAAGGACCGACTGAGGGCTACGTACCTCACAGTAAGCGCGGCCGTCGCCCGATCGCGCTGCACTTCAGAATCACACTGCCATCGAACATGTATGTAAATTTGGCAGCTGAACGAATTCTGTACTGTACAGGAGACACGGCACAGTGATCTACAATTCCTTTGCCAATTAGGGCGCAGGGGGAGGAACACAATATGTGCTCATACGCTGTAAAAAAAAAAAAAAAAAACATGCATGAAAAAATCTGCAAAACCGCGAAAGGTGAACTGTGATATAGTGAGGGATGAGTGTAATGCTGAGTAAATGTTTTAACCATCATACAGCCCTTTAAAATGTGTTACATCCGTTTGGTTCAAAAAGATCACAAAAGTGCACCGTGTTCTGTTCCATATAAACAGTGATACACATTTAACATGTAGCATTTTCGCTGAAAAACAGACTAACATGCTTTAAAAAACATAGAAAAACATGCGTCATCACTGTGAGTGGGCTTGCATCACCACAAACTTGACCTGTTTGACCTGGATTAGTGACACAATACTGTTTCCTTCCATGGAAATGTTGTTCCTTTGGCTATAATATCCCGAAGTATGACAAAAATGTATCTCCATTGTTCAGAAGTATGGTTTAAACTTTATATTTCTAAGGAATCATGCAGGTTAGGAGCCATCTCCAGAAAGTTACATGGTAAAAAAAAAAATAAAAAAATATAAAATCTTAAAATTGCCAATAGAAATATGAGTTTTATGGCCACAGCAGAGATAAAAAACAACAACAAAAAAAACAAAAACAAATAAAAATCCCCAAACTACAAAGGGGTGTTTAAGGATTAACAGTAATGTGTATGGATCCTCTTCCTGAGTGTACATTTTGTGTGACAGAGCGACATCCCCGTGGCCCAGAAGAAGCGCTTCACCCGGGTGGAGATGGCCCGTGTGCTCATGGAGAGGAACCAGTACAAGGAGCGGCTGATGGAGCTGCAGGAGGCCGTGCGCTGGACTGAGATGATCAGGTACAACAGCTACAGGCTCAGGGAGAAGAAGAAGAAACTGTACTCAAATAAGAGAACTTTTACCTTAAAATTATATGGAAAATGTCATTGAAGAAATTACTCAAGCACAGAGGTAGTACTTGGTTACATTTACTGAAGTACATTATGTTGTGTAACTTTTTAGTAAAATTGGATCTCTCTGTGTAGTTTTCTGACACTGTAACAATCCGTGTATCATTCGTTCATTCGTTTTTCAATATAAAACCAAAAATAAGAAAACGAAAAAACAACAGTTTTCTTCGTTATTTGTCTCCAAAACCAAAATGAAAAAACGGATAACGATTCGTTTTTTCAGTTTTGTGTTTAAATGAAGAATGGAAAAGACGGATAACGGCCGTTTCCCGTTTACGTGACTTCCGTGACTGCGATGCCGACTTTTGCACCGCATACGGACTGAATCAGGACGGATCCAGGTCCGAGACCAGACCGAGACCAGAGTGGGACTGAGAGCGGGACCACACCGGGACCAGACCGGGACCAGGGCGGACTCCGAGCTTTGACTCTGAGCCTCCACGGGGTCCGAGCCTCAGCTTCGAGCTCCGGCCCTGTCGTGGGCTCTGAGCCTCCGCTCTGGTCCCAGTCTGGTCCTGGTCTTGTCTCGGTCTCGGTCTCAGGCCCGCTCTGGTCCCAGTCTGGTCCCAGTCTCAGTAGCGCTTTGGTCCCGGTCTGGTCCCGGACCTGGTCCATTTGAACCAAAAGCTCTTATTTCGATTCATTTTCATTGGTGTGAATGCGTCAGTCGGATGCTTTGCACCACCTCGGAACCAGCCGCGGTTCTTGAGCGCGGAGAACCAGAGCAGCTCTGTCCCGGTCTCAGTTCCGCTCTGAACTGAAAAAACGAATCGTTATCCGTTTTTTCATTTTAGTTTTGGAGACAAATAACAAAGAAAACTGTTGTTTTTTTGTTTTCTTATTTTTGGTTTTATATTGAAAAATGAATGAACGAATGATACATGGATTTGTAACTTTACAAATTTTTGAGTAATATATTCAGGGTTCCAGATATCCTGGAAAAGTCATGGAATTTTAGTATGTCTTTCACGCAACTACAGCGTTCTGTTAATTTATCATTAGACTATTATGATTATTTCTGAATGTGTGCGCCTTTTGCGGGAAAGAGACGACAATAAATGCACTGACAGGATTTTGAATGTTAAAAAACTATAATCCCAAACCATAAGGTGAGTGGAAAGAGTTAACATTTCATATTTAGCCCTAAAAGTCTGATCAGTTCTACACATGTAGGTGCTGTAAAGTCATGGAAAATTCAGTTTAGGTCCTGATAAAGTCATGGAAATGTTTTGAAATTTTGTCAGTAAATAGAGTGGGAAACCTTTATATTATAACTGGGAGCAAGTCAAAAGTTAAAAATGTGACTACAGTTCTATTTCATCTCGACTGCAAACCACTGCAACAAACTACAACTGATGGGACAAGCGTGTGACAGACCCTCCAAACTGAGCCTCCAAATGTTCCACAATATGGCATTAAACTTAGTAATCAAGCAAGCAAGGGTCACCACCAGGCCAAGCTGCTGTCCTTTACCTTAACCTTATTTTCACACTTTTACTTAAAGCGTTTCCCCAAATACTTTTTATTCAATGAACTAACTGGTACTTCTTGAGCTTCTTGAGGACTGAGTATATTTTTATCTATCAGTTCCTTGCCAAATAATTTCATTGTTTGTTTTAGAGCTTCGAGAGAAAATCCAACATTGACCGAAAAGAAGAAATCCAGCATCTGGCAGTTGTGAGTAACTGATCATTTTGTTATATTCCACTGTAGCTCTGTTCATATTCGACTGTAATTTACCATAAACATTGCGATTATCCTTGACTTTTACTATCACCACTAAACAAATGACAAATATATAATCAATATATAAACAAAGTATTTCTCTTATCTCTCTTTATGCTATTGAAACATCAGCATTAGGTAAAACATGTATTTCTGAAACGGCCCTACCCAGTGGACTCCTCCATCTTAAAAAGTTCCCCGAAGTGTGTTCTCTCCTTGACCCTGACTAACTGTGCGGTTCACTGTAGACTTTTCTAATCTAACTCTACCTGTTCTCCTGGGCTTCCCCTGTCTCCCGCCTGCTCTGTGGGTTTGGATGGGCTGCTACTGTTACGCTGTCTACTCTTTAGCCAATCAAATATTCCCACAGGGTTGAATTTTAGGTGGAACTGATCCAACTGCATCTAGTGACTGTGTATGGATTTTAAAAGCACAGTAGAGCACTTCCTGTACAGTATTACCACATAACATGACAAGGTAGAACTGATATTTGAATTTGTATTGAAAATGTGTCCGAGAAAGTGCTGTTTTTGTAATACTTTTTTAAGCTCAGGGTTCAGCTAATTGTCCACAGTACAAGATTCTCAAATTCTCACAAACACAACAACAGCAGTAACAACTAGGGATGCACTATTACAGAGTGTCAGCCTGATACTTCCTTAATATACTCATACTCGTTAAACATTTGTCAATACCGCGCACCGATACCACTGTAAAGGGCCGTTCACACCAAGGCGTCAAAGCGTCCAGTTTCAATGTAAAGTCTATGTGGACGCGCGACTAGAGCGTCCTGCGTTTTTGCGGCGCGTCAACCAATCAGGGACGAGTATCCAGAGACGCAGCGACGTTATTATCAGGAAGCAAGACCCGAGAACCAGAACGAGAACCACAAACATGAGCGGAGAATAAATATGTACGCCACAATCACCGAGCCGATCGCGAGGACTACACCAGGACCGGACCAGGACTAAACCAGGACCGGACCAGGACCAAACCAGGACCAGACCGGGACTAAACAAGGACTAGACCGAGACTAGACCGAGACTAGACCAGGACCAGACCGGTATTAGACCAGGACTAGACCGGGACTAGACCGTGATTAGACCAGGACCAGACCGGGACTAGACCGTGATTAGACCAGGACTAGACCGGGACTAGACCGTGATTAGACCAGGACCAGACCGGTATTAGACCGGGACTAGACCAGGACCAGACCGGTATTAGACCAGGACTAGACCGGGACTAGACCGTGATTAGACCAGGACTAGACCGGGACTAGACCGTGATTAGACCAGGACTAGACCGAGACTAGACCGAGACTAGACCAGGACCAGACCGGTATTAGACCAGGACTAGACCGGGACTAGACCGTGATTAGACCAGGACTAGACCGGGACTAGACCGTGATTAGACCAGGACTAGACCGGGACTAGACCGTGATTAGACCAGGACCAGACCGGGACTAGACCGTGATTAGACCAGGACTAGACCGGGACTAGACCGTGATTAGACCAGGACCAGACCGGTATTAGACCGGGACTAGACCGTGATTAGACCAGGACCAGACCGGTGTTAGACCAGGACTAGACCGGGACTGATCCAGTGTCATTAGCGGAGTATAAATATATATACGCCCCAGTCGTCGACCCGATCTCCTCCGTTGATGTTTTATGTCATAAAAACACTCTATCAGTCTGGTCTGACATTGTTTCGGGAAAAGACCGGGACCGGGCTCTTGTTTCCAGGGCAACAGACGTTCGTCCACGGCGTCAAAGACGCGCGTCGGGGGCATCTAAACTGTCAAATGCAAAGGCGTCCAAATAGAGGCGTCAAGGCGTTTTCTGACGCTTTGGTGTGAATGGCCCTTTACACGACACGACTGGTCATCACTGGTCAAGTTCAGGAGGCCATTTGTTGTTGTACGTAACTTCAATGTCTAGGGGGAGACAAAGAGTAAGTCATATGCGCAAATAATGCTCAGTCTTGTCGTCGTCAGCAGTTTGGAAGTATTTTAGTATTAAGGAGGACGACAGGAGTGAGGCAGATTGCAAAGTATGGAGTGCCAAAATGCTGAGAAGTCATTTAATACGAGCAATTTAATCAAACATTTGAAGACACGCCACAGCGATAAGTATGCCGAGTTTACCAAAGCTCGCACGGGCCGTCAACAGCCAACCTTAACCAAAGTTTTCAAGAAGTGAGTGAAAATGTCCAAAGATAGCACTGGGGCAACAAAAATAACTGAGGAACTTACCTGCTACATTGTGCCCCGATGACCAGCCACATTAATTTGTCAGTGATATTGGGTTTCAGCATCTTATAGATGTTCTAGAACAGGGGTCCCCTCCCGTACACCGCGCGGACCGTTCCCCCTCCTGTACACCACGTGCTAAAACAGGTCTAAAACAGGTCTAAAACGAGGACAAAAACAAGGACTAAAACAGGACTAAAACAGGACTAAAACGGTCTAAAAACAAGGACAAAAACAAGGACTAAAACAGGACTAAAACAGGACTAAAACAGGTCTAAAACAGTCTAAAAACAAGGACTAAAACAAGGACTAAAACAGGACTAAAACAGGTCTAAAACGGTCTAAAAACAAGGACTGAAACAGGTCTAAAAACAAGGACTAAAACAAGGACTAAAACAGGACTAAAACAGGACTAAAACAGGTCTAAAACAAGGACTAAAACAAGGACTAAAAACAAGGACTAAAACAAGGACTAAAACAGGACTAAAACAGGTCTAAAACAAGTCTAAAACAGGTCTAAAACAGGTCTAAAACAGGTCTAAAACGAGGACTAAAACAGGACTAAAACAGGTCTAAAACGGTCTAAAAACAAGGACTGAAACAAGGACTAAAACAAGGACTAAAACAGGACTAAAACAGGACTAAAACAAGGACAAATCCAAGACTAAATCCAAGACTAAATCCAAGACTAAATCCAAGACTAAATCCAAGACTAAATCCAAGACTAAATCCAAGACTAAATCCAGGACTAAAACAGGATTTAGCCAGGACTTGCCCATTCCGTGTGAACCGCCTTCTCCCAGACACCCCACCCCCAGGCTCCTCCAGTCCGTGAAATATTGTCTGATATAAAACCGGTCCATAGCTCAAAAATGTTGGGGACCACTGTTCTACAGCCCAGATACGAGCTGCCCAGTTGCCTCAAGTGTTCGAGGCTGTTAAAACTCACATTAGGTCGATGGTACATGTCATCGAGTCAATGAGCATCACGACTGATATTTGGAGCTGCAGCGTCTGCCCAATGTCCCTTTTAAGTTTGACAGCCCAGTGGACAGATGAGGCGTTTACTTGTCATCAAGTTATACTCCATACGAAATCATTTGGAGGCCACCACACCAGCTTGGCCACAGTGGAGATATTCTTTAAAATGCTACAGCTCAAAAAAGTTCAGTTCATGTTCACATGTTCATGTCCTCCACAACAACGTGAGAAATATGATTCAGGCCGTGAGTGATGCTGGACTCCATCTCCATCCAAATTATCGGTATTGGTACTCAGTATCGGCAAGTACAGAAATGTTTATACTCGAACTCGTATCGGTTTTTAAAAAAGTGGTATCGGTGCATCCCTAATAACAGCTTTAAATACTCACTGAACTGATAGACTGATGCCGGAGAATTCACTCTCATTGCTTTAAATAAAATAAGCGAATGAATTAAAACATTTTATTTTTATTGAAATTTTCCATATGGAGCGTGGAATTGTGTTTTCTTATTGACAGGCCTTGATTTTGGAGAAATTAACCGTAAACTTAGACTGAAGCTTCAAATTTTGCTATAATATTAAAATTCAACACAGGCAGTACAAGGTCATGTGATGTCTCTTGATTCCCAGCATGCTTTCTGATTGTCCATGTGGTTTGGTCGGTGACCCGTGCCTTGCTCTCCTCTCTCTCCCTGCACTCCTTCTCTTCACCCCTCCCTCTTTGGCTTCTCTGTAACTCCGCCCCCTCAGCTTCAGCAGACTCTTTAGCTCCTCCTCCAGCAGCAGCAGCAGTAGCCCCGCCCTCAAGAAGGCCGACTCCCAATCCAACGTCAAGTACAACGCTCCGGGAAGTCTGGTGAAGAGGAGCAGCACCTTCTCCCAGTTCCCCACAGAGAAGTCCAAAACCTTCGACTTCCTCAACGAAGAGTGAGTATTTCAAAAAGTAACACAAAAATTACAAAATTGTTACTGAATCCAATTCTAAGAGTAGAAGCATCGCAACAAACTATACAAAAAATCTAAACTAAAGTGTCATACTATGTTTTTTTTATTATGAGAACTCTCAGTAGTGTGACGGGATGTTTCTGTGATGTGTCTGGTCATTTAAACAGGTTTTGTTGCTGTCTTACTACTTTGAACAGTAGGACGACAGCTTCATCTGCAGTTTATATTCTTCAGAGCTGTGTCTTAAAGGTTGTATAGAGGATTTTCCAAGGAACGAGAAATCCAGCGACTGTTTGTCCTTTTTCAAATGTTGCGCATGCGTGAAACCACCCCTCCTCCCCCACAGCTCCTACGTAGAAACGCCTCCTCCCGCCTCCTCCTTACGCCAGAAACAGGTTTGTTTACAGCCGGACATTTTGTGCGCGGACGAGAAGTGAGGAGCAGGGAGAAGAGCGGCGCAGGGAGCAGGGAGAGGAGAGAGGAGAGGGAGCGGTGCGCGGAGATTCCGTGCCCGGAGAAGTGAGGAGCAGGGGGAAGAGCGGAACAGGCAGCGGGGAGAGGAGCAGGAAAGGGGAGCAGAGAAGGGTGCGCGGAGATTCCGTGCGAATGAACTAGCTACAACACGCAGCAAGCGGACTCTTTCTTTGCCTTGAAACTTACGTTTTCAGACATAGGATATCACATTCGTGTCCTGAAAAACGTTTGTCTCGCTCTTGGAAATAAAGTACGTTTTCATAATAAGCAGAAGTTTCCTGTCCAGGAGTAATTTGTGGACCAGTGCGTCAGTCTTTAGACCCTGCGTCTGCTTCAGTCGCGCCATCGCTGGAATGAATCTACAAGAATCACCTTAGTTTGGCTTCGCTGCTTTTCCCCTTGTCTTCTTCTTTCAGCGACCTCAAAAACGGACTTTCTTTTGCGGCGAACTGCTCCTGGATTCTTGTCGCCATTGCAACAAACTTTGTGCGAACTGCGAGGAAGATATAGGTCAAAAAAAGCCGCTAAGAACTGTTGCGTTGGTGGAGTAAACAGCGTCTGTGCGTCTTGCGTCTGTGGACTGCGTGACAGACGTACGTAAACCACGTACCGGCGGCGCGCAGGCAAGTCAGTTACGCTAGAAACGTAGGGAGTTTGATTGACAGCCTGTCAGCTCACAGATAACGAGGCAGTGTCGTTATCTATTGGCAAATGTTTAGCCCCACCACGTCCAGAGTTGATGAATTTTTATTCTCTTTTTTTTGGTCATCACAATTACAAGGCTACTGCACCTCTATAATGCTATCAGTGACAATTTGAAACAAAAAAAATCCTCCATACAACCTTTAAGTGTGAAGAAGTTGGTACACCCCCTCGTCCCGATTCACAGTCTGAGAGATTGTTTTCCCTCTTGTAGTGGTCTCAGATTGCAGACTTGAGCTGTTTCTGGTGCTGTTGTTTAGTGACTGAGGTTCATGTTTTGGCAGACGTCTGATTAAAAAAAATAAATAAATAAATCATATCACATAATCAATAATAATAATCATATAATTCAGACATAATGCAACTTATTAAACTATTGGAAGTAACATGAAATACCAACTGTAATAAAAACAAAATCCATTACTATTTAAATAACAATTGCAATATGTATAAAATATATTTTTTAAATTATTACTACACTGTAAACCCATACAATTAAGCAGTAATAAAAATAAAAAAAATTGGTAAATGGTTGCCTAACTTTTTAATTTATAGTCATATTATTTTAAATGAATGTAAATAAAGAATAAATAACACAAAATCTTTTATTAAATAATTTATTATTATTTGCCTAATGCTAAAGGTTTTATGTGATACTTATATATTACATACATATTTTTAATTTATGGTAATTAGTAACATTTAAGTTAGACAACCATTTACCTACATTTTTAAAATTTTACTTACATTTCAAGAAAAATCTTACAAATATGCATTTCATGTGCTTAATAAAAAGGAGAAAACACTTTCAATTTATTATTTTTTTTTTTAATTGCTAACAGAATACAAGTTCAAAAATAGATTTACTCAGTTTTAATGGATAGAATAAACTGTAAAAGTGGCACCAACATATTTCCTCCCACATTTTCCAACAGTTTAAATCATTTCAAAACAGTTCAAGTCTATCTGCTTTATTTAAAATGTGTGGGTGTATTAACAGCCTTAACTCTGACAAATAATTTTTAATGTCTGCAGTCTGAGGAAAAGTGTCTCATACAATATGTGATTCTGCAGGAAGGAGGTGTGCAGCTCTCCGTCTCGTAAAGAGCAGAAGAGAGCGCAGTATCGACAGGTGAAGGCTCACATGCAGAAGGAGGACGGGCGCGTCACTGCCCACGGCTGGAGCCTCCCGGGAAAATGCAAGGTAAGGCTTCCACTGTCTGGATAAATCTGATTACTGTGCACTGCATTCATGTGAGATGTGAGTTTTCACTGTGTCAGACTCACAGAGGGTTTTCTGTGAGATGCCTCATAGAAAATGCTACAAAACACCGTTTCAGCATTGATTTTTAAAGGTGAGATTTGTTCAGCTGTGGAATAACCCCTTTCAGTCTGTCTGATGCTTTTCAGAAGCTCTGCCGACAGGTTGTGATCCAAAAAACTTTAGATTTCTGCCTAGAGAACATTGTGAAGGTTTGTTGGTGTTACTGTATCTGTAATATGTTTTCAGGTAAACGGTGGGCAGAATGAGAGTAAGATGAATTTACCTGTCCCTGTGTATCTGAGGCCTCTGGAACAGAAGGACACCTCTATGAAGGTACTGGGAAAGTGACATCTGTACTGCATTAGTCCTGCGTTTATTTTATTGTTTTAAATCACATAAGAATACCATGAAAACAGTGGTGGAGTAATTCAAAATCAGCCAGTTTTTGAGTATTGATTGTGTTTGTTGGTCCAGTTGTGGTGTGCAGCGGGCGTGAACATGTCCGGGGGCAGGGCAGAGCTGCAGAGGCAGAAGAAGGGCTCCCAGTGCAGTTTAGACCAACTGGACAACGACAACAAGGTAAGGACAAAAGATACGTGTTTGAAATGGGGCATGTGACAAAGCCCATGATCTGTTTTTAATTCATACATCTTTAGAATCAGCTTGAAACATCTTGAAAAGTCTATGGGGCTTCTAGGCGAATCCCTCAAATGTATTTTTTTCAAATTTGACTTACTGCCAAATTGTTTATATCCTACAACCATAATAACGGCTCTGTCTTGCCTCAAAATAGTTTTTATTGAGGTTAAGATGAAGTAACTTGCAGTAAAATGTACTTTGATGATTTGGGCCAAATCAGCCAAATGAGGGCCACTATAAATTCTTCATGAAGCCAAAGAGGAGGCAGAACCTTCCCTCGTATAATTGAGCACAATGAAATACCAATGCACTAACTTTGTAAAAACATGTACCGTATTTTTCGGACTATTAAATCAGACCGGAGTATAAGTTGCACCAGCCAAAAAATGCATAATGAAGAAGAAAAAACATATACAAATCACACTAGACTATAAGTTGCATTTTTGGGAGGGAATTTATTTTATAAAATCAGAGACAAAGAACAGACATTTAATCTTGAAAGGCAAGTTGTAGTAATAACAATAGAACAGAGAACAACTGACTAAACAGATGTCTGGTATGTTCACGTAAGAATAAACAGAACATCATAAGTTGACCAAACTCTTGATCTCACTCCAAATCACAAAATCCTCCATCATCCAAAATTCTTCATCCTCAGTGTCACTTCTGAGCAATTCCGCCCACTCTACCTTAATCTATCTTTTAGACCGCAATTAGCTTTTTTGTTTTCTTCATTGCAGTTTGAGTGTCCTCTGCTTTTCGCCAGTCCCTCACAAGTTTCTTGCTCACTCCAAACTTTGTTTCTACCGCTCGATTACTGTTTTCGACTGCAGATTTCACTACTTTTAGGAGGACAGAGGCTCTTTCTGCAGGAGACATGTGCAGTAGAGCGAAGTGACAGTGGTACAGGAGTTATAAGAGCAGCAGATACTGACAGACAAGACTAGAGCCTCTCGTGGCTTCAGTGTGAAAATAACGAACATGTGAAATTATCTGTTTTAATATATAAGTTGCAGGACAACCTATACCATGAAAAAAGTGCCACTTATAGTCTGAAAGATACGGTACCTGCGTCCTTCATATGTGATGTTGTCTCTGTAGGACCCAGAGAAGGTGGAGCCTGAGCGGGACCTTGTGGCCCAGGACGAGCTGTCGAGTCGGGTGTGGGTCTGCACCAGCACTCACTCCTCCACCAAAGTCATGGTCCTGGACGCCACACAGCCCGCGGACATCCTGGACTCCTTCTACGCCTGTAACACTCACGTGCTCTGCATCGCCAGTGTGCCAGGTAAGAAGCCGAGAGAGTAGCCTCAGATTCTACAAACAATGAACAGCAAAACGTTCTGTTATTTATTAGAAGACTTCATGTGAATTGGGATGCGTTGGTAAAAAATAGCTGGAAAGGATGTTTCTTCTGCTGATATCCTGGTTGGGTCTCTAAATTTCTAAATTGTAATACTGCTTTTTGACCTCTATGAGCATGGTGCCCCCTGGTGTTGGCAAGTTCCTATAGTAAGAGAATGTGCGGTGAAATCTGAATTTCTCAAATTGAATTTTTTTTTTTACCCGAAATTTGGTAACTTTGGTTTTTTTTAATCAGAATTTCTCAACTTAAATTTTCTCTGTCTGAATTAAAGATGCTGAAAAATACTGTAAAATCATACCAACCTATCACATGTTAATGCTTTTTTTTTCCAGTTATTTCCATTTCAACAATTTTGTATTCAAGCTATTTCATTCATCATGAAATATTCAAATTCAAAACTTCTGGCACATCTGTACTAGCCAGGCTGGCGCCACCTAGTGCCTCTGTTCAATTTCATTTTTCTCCAGTGACTATGTCAGGAATAAGAATACACTAATAAAGTAGACGTTTTGCAAAAACCTCGGAAGTGCAAGTTCGGGCACCAGCCAATCAGCGAAGAGCCATATATTCTGTGTTGTCAACGATTCCCGAGATCGAGGATTTAAAGCCGGAACAAAGAGAATGTTTGGTGAATTTTATCAAGGGGAAAGACGTTATTGCCCTTTTTCCTACAGGATTTGGGAAAAGCTTAATATACCAGTTAACGGCACAATACATAACGACCAAATAGCAGTGATATTTTGATTGAATATTTTGATCAGTTTCTGCATGTTTAATTAATCCTCTATTGCCCTGTATTTAGGGCGCAGAAAATCACCCCTTATCTCCTCCCACTTTTCTGTACTTGGCTTTAAAATGTGTAAATTATAACATAATGATCCGTAGGTGTCAGAGATTATAACTATAGCAAACACAAGCGCAGTATGTTTTCCAGATTTATTCACCACTACAGTGTTGGACTTTCAGGAGTGTTGGAGACAGACTTCCCGGCCGGAGAGGAGGTTCCCCAGGACGTGGACGGCGGTCAGGCTGGAGATGGGGTGAGCTTAGCGGGCAGCGTGGCCAGTGTGGGCTCCGCGGGCAGCGACGGCACTCTGGCTGCGGAGGGAACCACGGCAGTACCACAGACCGCAGGGGCCAGAGGGAGCGAGCAGCCCACAGAACACAGCGGCGTCTCGACATCAGGTCAGGTCTAAAAATAAAAATAAAACCTTTTTGTAAATTATCACACATTTTTGGGTCAAAGTTGCCTAGTCAGATTTAGTTTTTGACTGGCAGAAATAAATGTCATTGTCATAAGGTGAATAACTTTTTTAACTTCTGATGGATATTTTGCAAAACTTTTATCTTGAAAACTTGCATTCTTACTGTGAGCGTGGTTGCCTCTCCACAGATCTGACTTGTAACTTGGCCTAGTGCTTGTCTATTTGGAGATAGATCAGTTGAATGCCATAGCCACAGTAGGCACGTCCAAGTATCAGAACTAAAAAAAAAAATTATATTGACAGATGATTTCAATGGCAAATTTAGCAGGCTGGGTTTGGCTGATCTGACGCTTTGTTTCTCATTTTCTCGCCCAGTGGAGCTCTCCAGGGAGACGAGCCCGACTGAAGACACGGCAGAGGAGGCCACAGAAGCTACAGAGGCCAACGCCGGTGTGGGCGAGGAGGAGGGCGAGGGCCAGCAGGGGGCAGAGCAGAGCCAGCCGGGCATCTACACCGAGCACGTTTTCACAGACCCTCTGGGCATGGAGCGTGAAGCCACCCCCACCCCTCCAGAACACAGGTGAGGGATGGGCTGTGGTGTGAGGGTGGGGCTCAACAGTCTAAAGAGGACTAGTTCAAATTAAGAGAAATGTTGCTGACATGATGGTAGCGATTTGATGGTGGAATTGGTTGGAAAGAAAAACTAAATTATTACATAGCCTTATAACAAAAAAGTGAACACAAGCTCTTCTGGCAGATAGAGGTTTTACATTCCTATGACGCTTGTGTTTCCACAGGGACCCGGGGTCAGAGGTGACGTCTTTACCAGAGCCGTCAGAGGCCCCTGATGCAGAGGTGCTGAGGATGAGCAGTGCTCTGCCGACCATGTGGCTGGGAGCGCAGAACGGATGGTGAGTATGAGGATATGACATGGCATATGACATGGAGCGCACTGATACCAACACTCCTAAAGGGGCTGCCAGAGATAACAGGTGGTTTGGTCTGCTGCAGAGCTCTTCAAAAATATTATTTGAGCAAATTGTAAAATCTTTACAAAAGTAGTTTGTGAAGCACTGCTTCAGGGGAGACACTTCTGTTGTCATGTATCATGTATTAACAGTTGTTCTCCTCTTCAGTCTGTACGTTCATTCGTCTGTGGCGCGGTGGAGGAAGTGTCTACATGCCATCAAACTAAAGGACTCCATTCTTGGCATAGTGTGAGTATTTTGTATATTTTTTTACTAAAGTACTGCACATCCATTTTGTATTTATTTATAAAATGCATATTTGTTGCAGCCACGTTAAAGGACGAGTGCTTGTAGCTTTGGCAGACGGGACATTAGCCATTTTCCACAGAAATATTGGTATGTACTTTTATTTACTATATACATGTATAACTATACATTTTTATGACAGTATTGTAAATCTCACATGATGTTTTGTGAAAGGGTAGAGCAGTTAAGGTATTTATAAAATTATTCTGACTAGTTAAGTACAATTATTTGCTTATGTCAGTGTTTTTTTTTTTAGATTTCTTTAATTTATTATTTTCCCTAATTTTTGCTTCTCTAACATGAAGCAAAGGTCTATTTTGTGCTATGCTGTTTGACTTCCCATTCTGTGTATTGTAAAAGCCAGAATATTATTATCAACACTGAATTTGCAAGAACCTTAAGAACCTTACTCAAGAAGTAACTAGTACTAGATTAACTGGGAAAACCAATCAAACCAATAAGTTATTTAAAAAAGGTTCCAAATAAAGCATTACCATCAACACTGGTTATTAGAGATCAAAGATATTTCTGGTTTTGTACAGTGAGTGAATACATCTGTTGTTGTTGTTGACTCAGCTGACGGCCAGTGGGACCTGACTAACTACCACCTGCTGGACCTGGGGCGGCCTCATCACTCCATCCGCTGCATCAGTGTGGTGCACGACGCCGTGTGGTGTGGATACAGGAACAAGATCTACGTCATCCAGCCCAAAGCCATGAGGATAGAGGTATTGACAGGCAATCTCTTTAAATACACGTACACCGTGCACTCGCATTTGTGAAATGAATGAAAATGAAATGAAATGTAAAGTATTGGTTTCTCATAGACCTTTTTTTTTTTTTTTAAATCAGTTTAAAAAAAATACTGTATTTTTCGGACTATAAGGCACACTTAAAATCCTTTTAATTTTCTCAAAAATCGACAGTGCACTTTATAATCCGGTGCTCAAAAATCTGTCAAAATGTTTTAATACAACTTTGGTAAACTACAACGCCGCACTGTTTCATGGATTGTCAGAGCATTACAGCTACCTTATTCCTCACGGAGTAAATCTGACAGAAGCTGACCGCATCAGCGCACAAGGAACGAGCTGTTTTTTCAGCACTTACAGTTTATGCAAATTAGCCATGTGGTTTTAAGTTTCGTTTCTGTAAAACGTAAACAAATGTGCACAAAGCTGCATTAAACACATTATTACTCAATGTATATTTGAGTCCTCCTCGTGGGAAATAAAAAAACAAACTTAAATGATCCAACCACATTCACATTCATAATCCACATTCACCAAGACAGGGAGGCAACGCCGGGCGAGTTACGTCACGATCTGCTAATGGATCGTGGACGCCTGGACTAAGGGATCAGTCTCAAGTGTCGTCTGTTTGTTTCGCTTAATGCGCCTTATAATCCGGTGCATCTTATGTATGAAAATAGACAAGACATGTTTGTATTTTAGTTTATCTGCACATACTTAAGATGAAGTGGAGCAAAGATAATGCTTGAATAAATCCTCTATATGTCAAGGTAAAATTCTTTATAGTAGAGGAGTGTCAGTGCATTTTAATTATGGATGCACCGATTCAACTTTCAGTTCTGATACAAATTTGGATACTATACCTTTAAGTATTTGCCCATAACCGATATCAGCCAATACCAGTGCAGAGACTGAAAACAGCAATTATTTCCCAACAACTAAAACAAAATAAGACTAAACTGATTCAAATGTGTTATGTAGCTGTTATTTATCCCCACGACAGCTTTGTATAAATACAAATTCAAATATTCTGAGACTTTCTGGGCTGACTATGACCTGTAAATTGTCCTATTACATCAGTTTATAGGCAGGATTTCAACTTAACCGATATTTGGAAGCTGATATCAGAGTCAGTGTCAGCTCTGATATCCAATAGCAGTATCAGATAGATAATTTGAATACAAAACTCATTGGTATCGGACGGATATTGCGATACTTGCCATAGTATCAGATCGAAACAAAAATCACTGGTATTGCCCATCACTGTTACGTTCTGATACTGATACAGATTTGGCTTATGTGTAAAAACTGTATTCAAATTATGATGACACTAATCACTATAGATTCACGTTCATGCAGAATCAAGTTATTTTGTGATTAAATGTGTCATCTCCCTGTGTTCTGAGCAGAAGTGTTTCGATGCACACCCGCGGAAGGAGAGCCAGGTGCGGCAGCTGGCCTGGGTGGGGGAGGGCATCTGGGTTTCCATCCGTCTGGACTCCACGCTGCGCCTGTTCCACGCACACACCTACCAGCACCTGCAGGACGTGGACATCGAGCCCTACGTCAGCAAGATGTTGGGTAAGAAACGGCATGGATTTTTAGATGCTGAATTAGAATGGCAGGTTCTCTAATGGGGTAAACGCACAAATGGATATGAGTTTCTCACGTTGAGACAAATAAAAACATAAGAATATATAAGGGGGATATATGAAAGGGAGTATTTTTGCTCTTATATCTGCAAATCTTTTATTTAAGTAACCAAACTGACTATTTCTACCACTAAAACTATATTTTAACATATTTTTCGGGCTATTAGACGCGCTCTTAAGCCTCCAACTCTATCAAAAAACGACCGCGCGCCCCATAATCCAGAGCGACCTATACACGAATCCACTCGGGTGTCCCAGCACGACGTCAGTAAACTGTAAAGCCGCACCACCCGCAGAACACGCAAACACACACGGAGCAGACAGCGACCACGCAGAGAAAAACACCCACAGACACACTCATCACTCCACGCCGACGAGGAACGAACCGAAAAAGCGAGTGCAATGTGCCACTTCTAGACACAACTGAACAACTGAGTCACTGCGAACACGCCGACAATCCGTTGGTCCCAGACAGCACCCTCCCTACACGCCACAACTGAACAAAGCCCAGAGTCACCGTGAACGACCACAAACAAACAAAACCACTCACCCATCCAACTGTTGTGTTTCGTTTAAAGTCTGGTGCGGTTATTTGTGAAAAAAGTTCAAAAATAGACCATTTAATGATGATGCACCTTATAATCCAGAGCGCCTAATAGCCCAGAAAATATGGTTCATAACCTGAAATTTATTAAGTTTGATTTGGTAGCGTTTGATATGTACATTGTTTCTGCCGTGTAAACCTGATTACAGTTAAAAATAATTCTAGGATTACAAACCAAGAACAATAGAGAACTGAACCTGGTCTAATCCTGGCGCCACCTAGTGCCTCCGCTCAATTTAATTTCTCTCCAGAGATTACGTCAGGAATCGGAATACACTAGACGATTTGCAAGAACCCCGGAAGTTGTAGACTGCACACCGGCCAATCAGCGAAGAGCTGTGAAGCCATGACGTCAAACTGAAGCGTCTGTCTGGGTCCCTTTTGTGGAACAGCACAACAGTAAACAAAGCGTCGAGATGGATGTAGACGAAGACAGACATTCTGTGTTGGCAACGATTCCAGAGATTGAGGATTTAAAGCCGTAACAAAGAGAATGTTTTGTGAATTTTATGAAGGGGAAAGACGTTATTGTCCTTATTCCTACGGGATTTGGCACATTACATACGTCACGACGAAATAGCAGTGACTGGTTAAATGAAAAAAGTACCCGCCTACTGTCGAGCGAACGAATCCTAATGCTGCGAGGTCAGGCAAGTCTAATCCAGGGATAAAGTCTAAATCAGCCGCTGCACCCACTGGTCTGGTTTGGATCTCACGAGCTTTCTGATTCCTACATACCTGTAACAATGTTTATCAACACAGATCAGATCTACAGGATTTTTGTTTATCTCAAGCAAGTCTCTGGTGGACGTCTGGGGTTCACAGAGTCGTATACAGTCCCTGACAAAAGTCTTGTCGCTTATCCATTTTGTAGAAACAAAAACTTATAACCTGACTTTAAATTAATCGATTGGTTTTAGAAATGTCTCATATGAAGCTAAAACCCTCCCAAATTATGCTCAATATACTAAAATAAATTTGCTTCACTGAAGAAAGATTGATCATTTAATGAACACAGAAAGGGCAGATTTTGGCAAGACAAAAGTCTTGTTGTCTTGTCATATGATGCACCCAATCCTAGATTACAGCCTCACCTGTGATCAGTTACTGATCAATCAATTAGTGGGTTGTGTATAAAAAGAAGCCCAGCACACCAGACCTTCACATCAACTGCAACTTGACCTCTGACAACATGCCTAAGATCCACCCTGAGACCAAAGCCTTAATTATCAAGAGGCTGAAGACCAGATCCACTGCTGAGGTGGTGACACCTTCAATGTGTCTCAGCGTCAAGTACAAAGAATAAGAAAAAGATCTGAAATGACTGGAGATGTTTTTGACAAGCCCAGGTCCAGTAGACGCCACAAGACAACTGCTCGGAGGACCGTTTGATTCAAAAATCCAAGGCCCCTTTTCCACTGCAGCAGACTCCACCAGACCTGGTCAACTCTCAAGTCCCTGTGTCAACTAGAACAGTTTGTAGAATTCTGTCTCGAAATGACCTCCATGGTCGAATCAGTGCACAGAAACCAGCACTAAACAAAAGGCAATTAAAAAACCGTGTGGCATTTGCCAAGGCCCACAGCCTGCTAAAAGGATGGACACTGGAAAAGTGGCAGAAGGTGGATTTCTCAGATGAATCCTCGGATGAATTACATCACAGCCGCCGTAAATATTGCAGGAGACCAAGATTCACCCAGAAAACAGTTAAGTTTGGTGGCGGAAAAATCCTGGTCTGGGGTTCCATCCAGTATGGGGGTGTGCGAGACATTTGCAGGGTGGAAGGCAAATATCAATAGCCTAAAATATCAAGAAGTATTAGCTCCTCTTACATTCCCAACCATAAAAGGGGTCAAATTTTGCAGCAGGATGGTGCTCCATCGCATACTTCTATCTCTACATCAAAGTTTCTCAAGGTGAAGAAGATCAAGGTGCTCCAGGACTGACCAGCCCAGTCACCAGACATGAACATCATTGAGCATGTCTGGGGTAGAATGAAAGAGGAAGCATGGAAGGCAAAACCAAAGAATCTTGATGAACTCTGGGAGGCATGTAAGACGCTTTCTTTGCTATTCCTGATGACTTCATCAACAAATTGGATGAATCATTGTCGAATCGCATGAATGCGTCCTTCAAGCTCATGGAATCATACAAGATATTAAATATGGATCTCACAGCACCACTACTTCATTCACTGATGTTATGCAACATATTTTTGTATTTGAAGTAAATTATTTGTTCAATTTTCTGTAGGCGACAAGACTTTTGTCTTGCCAAAATCTGACCTTTCTGTGTTCATTAAATGATCAATCTTTCTTCAGTGAAGCAAATTTATTTTAGTATATTGAGCATAATTTGGGAGGGTTTTAGCTTCATATGAGACATTTCTAAAACCAATCGATTAATTTAAAGTCAGGTTATAAGCTTTTGTTTCTACAAAATGGATAAGCGACAAGACTTTTGTCAGGGACTGTAGTTTGAGTGTATTATTGACCTTGGTTACATTATGTTTTGTCTCCCTCAACAAAAAACTTCAAAATCCTCCTACAAAATAAATTGATGATAAAATAAATCTACAGGAATGACATTTACACACATGCACATATGCTGTACGTAGTTCCTGATGGTGTATGTGTGTGTGTTGTAGGCACGGGCAGACTGGGCTTCTCCTTCGTCAGGATCACAGCTCTGGTGGTCTCCTGCAGCAGGCTCTGGGTGGGCACAGGCAACGGAGTCATCATCTCCATCCCTCTGTCTGAAGGTAACTTTACTCTCTGTTCAACGTCACTTGTGTTGAGTTATTGAAATGGAGATAAGGTCACAACACAGAACCTCCAAACAAGTTGAGGTTTTTCTCTACAGGTTCACTTTGGGGTGTAAACAAGGTGTGAACACGCATGGATATGAAGTGCTTATTAGTGGGCTTAGTAGTACATTTGCATCGACTGTAACGTCTGTGTGAATACATGCTCCAAAACGCATAAAGTGTTCATGGACCGTAGAAACAGAAGCCCAAATGGAAGCAACTAGTTAAACATTATAAGATGCACATATTCTTCAAATTACAGTGACTCATTTCCTGTATCACCACATGATAAGTGTTTTCTGTTTGAGAGAAGAACTCGGCATAAATATACAGGGTTTGTGTGTTAAACATGTTAGAATGAAACAAAACACAACTCTAGGTCTGTTTGAGATGAGATGAGGAGTCCTGCACCGGGTCACTGGGCAAATAGTTGCAGAAAAGGGCAAGTTTTCATGTTCTGGAATTGTACAGGTGGGTCAAATGAATGACGAACAGGAAAAAAATACTTTGGAAACAAGTGCCATTTCCCAGTCTTTTCCAGGAACGATGAACCAGGCTGAGAGACTTTAGTTTTTTATTACATAAAATCATCAGCGGAGGTAATCGGCACTGGCGCCTGTGCTCCTGGTTTAGTCCTTGTTTAATCCTGGTTTAATCTTGGTTCAGTCTGGGCTTAGTCCTGGTCCAGTCCTGGTATAGTCCTGGCGATTGGCTCGGCGGTTGCGCTGTGTATATATTTATACTAATGACACTGGTTCAGTCCTGGTTTGGTTTAGACCTGGTGATCAGCTCTGCGGTTTGCGGCGTGTATATATTTATAATCCTCTAATGACACGGTGTAGGTTCAGTCCTGGTTTAGTCCTGGACTATTGGACTGTTGGACTAATGGGCTGACCCCGATTTATCACAGGCTCGAGCGGGTAACGGGTGAAATGCTAATGGTTCTGGGCGGGTGCGGATTTAACTTTGATATAAACACGGATTAACAGGCGGATGTGGTGCTGTACGGCGCGGGTGTGGGCGGGTTTCGTGCAGGACTGGACCCCGTGCGGGACTTTGACCAACACTATAACACAGATCATAAAATGGCGTGACACGGGCCCTTTAACTAATTGCTTCACCACTCTCCTGCTTCTCTCAGCGAACCAGAGCGCATCAGTGCCAAACCGTCCTGGAGGGGCGGTGCGTGTTTACAGTGACGAGGGCACAGAGGGGGCGGGGCCTGGCGCCTCTGTACCGTACTGCTCCATGGCACACGCCCAGCTCTGTTTCCACGGACACAGGGACGCAGTCAAGTTCTTTGTCACCGTGCCAGGTAAAATCACATACTACTGCTGTATGTCAAATCGCCAGTTATATACTACAATATCTGTCTATCTTATCTTATGTCTTGCTTGTGGTGCTCGTGTGTTGCCAGGTCAGGCAGTGCCCCCTCCTGGTAGCGCAGACTCAGGATCAGACGACCCTCCCTCCGAATCCTCCGACACAAACTCCTCGGAGCCTAAAACATATCTGGTGATGAGCGGAGGAGAGGGCTACATCGACTTCAGAATGGGTACGTTCTGAACAGGAAAAGAGACACCATTTATTATACTAGTGTAGTATTTATGGCTGGTAGTGATAAGAAGCAAAGAGTCAACAACAAAATGAAAATTGTGTTTCCCTGAAATATTTAAAGGGGACATATGATGCTTGAGTCTTGAGCTATCTAAAGTATTTTTCCGGAGTACAAATTACACCAGTGAAAAAATGCATAATGAAGAAGAAAGAGACCAGGAATCGACATTTCATCTTGAAAATCAAGTTCTAGTAATAACAATAGAACAGAACAACAGGCTGTTAACGTCGCATATGAACAGTTCTTCAGATAAATATAGTATAAACAACAGAACAGAACAAGTTTACCAAGCTCTCCTTCTCACTCCAAATCACTAAATCCATTCAATTCTTCATCCTCGGTGTCACTTCTGAGCAACTCCGCGACCTCCAGAGGCAAACGGGGCACCACTTCCTCTTCTGTGTAGCTGTCAGACTCAGCATCAGTTCCAGTTAGAATTATTCAGACCTTTCGGAATCCCGACAGGATGGTTTCGGTGTCACTGAAATCCAGGATTTGTCGATCCATCCAGTGACTTCAGGAAAGTTGCATGTCGCACCCTCCCGGTGTCACAAGTCTCTTGCTCACTCCAAACTTTCTTTGGCTGAATATTTCACTACTTGCAGCTTGTAATCTGCAAAATATGATTTTTTGGGGGGGCATTTGTGTTCAGTCTTCTCAGTCGTCTTTATAAGTTTGTTTAAATGTTAAATTGTTCAGTGCAGAAGTAATGGTGCGATCGACTGACATGATACAGACAGGACAGAGGCTCTTTCTGCAGGAGACATGCGCAGTAGAGTGAAGTGACAGTGGTACAGGAGGAACAGGAGCAGCAGATACTGACACACAAGACTAGAGCGTCTCATGGCTTCAGTGTGAAAATTTTAATATATTAGTCACACAGGAATATAAGTTGCAGAAAACACCCAAACCATGAAAAAAGTGCAACTTATAGTCCAAAAAATACGGTACATGTTTCTCTATCCTCCTTTACATGTGTGGTTATAAATGTATTCTCCAATCTTAAAATTTTTCAGTTTTATAGTTTATTGTCAATTCAAGTAAATATTGTTTGAAAAATGCAAATGTTTTTTTTTTTTTTACACATTTCAACCATTGGTGAATATAGTGCATGTTCCTCTATCCTTCTTTACGTTTCTTGTTGTTTTGTGTCCAGGCGACGAGGGCAGCGACCTGGACGGCGCCTCAGACCTGAGTCCCGGTCAGTCGGTCCCCCCCAAGTCCGAACGCAGTCACCTGATCGTGTGGCAGGTCTCCTCCGCACACCACTGACCACGTGCCAATGAGCAATACGGCTCTCTCTCTCTCTCTGACTCCGCCCAACGAACTACCAACCCTCCACCCGCCCGCGCATGTCCGTCTCCGCCCTCCTCCTTTTATCCCTAATGCCTGTCTAGTCCACTACTTTGTAAGATATATTTTTAGTTTTGTACAGTGGATTCCTTGGTTTTATTTGGAGAAGTACACTGAAAAAAATGAAAATTGTACATGAGTTAAAAATACTTGATTTTTTCCCTTTAATTTATTTATCTAGATTTGAGGGTTTTTTTTTCTAAGTTTTAATAAGTTATCTTGTTGGATCTAGAATGTTTCATGAATTCAACAGAATCCAGATTTGTGTTATTTTTGACAAGTTTCAAGATTCATTTGCATATTCATCATTATATTTTTTTAAGGCTAGATTTGAGTAATTTTGATGAAATTATTATTTAGATCTGAATCTAGATTTTGGTCATTTGTATTAATTTACATACTGAATCTATAATATTTCATGAATTTAAAATAATCTATGTTCGCGTTTTTTGTTTTTACCAGGTTTGATTAATTTACTTTACTTGGATCTAAAACTTTAGCTTTAAAAAATCATGAAATGTTAAAGTAAAAGTTTAGATAAATTTAAATGTTGGATCTAGAATATTTCAAGATTTTTTAAAGCCTATATCTGAGTCATTTTGACAAGCAAAGGACAAATTTAATCTAAAATCTTCGCTTTAAAAATCATGAAATGTTAAAGTAAAAGTTCAAATAAATTTAATTGTTGGATCTATATATTTCAAGATTTTTTTAAAAGCCTAGACTTGAATAATTTTTACAAGCAAAAGAAAAATGTATGTAAATCTTATCTTTAAAAAAATCATGAAATGTTAAAGTAAAAGTTCAGATAAATTTAAATGTTGGATCTAAAATATTTCAAGACTTTTTTAAAGCCTTAGATTTGAGTAATTTTGACAAGCAAAAGAAAAAAATAATTCTGTCAACTGGGGGCGACAGTAGCTCAGTTTGTCCACTGATCTGAAGGTTGGTGGTTTGAATCTCGCTCTCGACATAAACGTCATTAGTTGAGTGGTCAGATTCCAGCTCCCACAGATGAATGCTGTCGTTGTGTCCTTGGGCAAGGCACTTAACCCACCTCACAAGCGCTCTGAGTGTCTTGAAGATGGAAATGCGCTGTATAAAAATGCGACCGTTTACCATTTAACGGGACAAAACTTTTTTTTTTGAGTGAAGACGTTTTGCAGCTCATCCAAACGACTTTGTGTCTAGTTGACAGAATTAAATTTCCTTTTGCTGCGGATCACGATAAAGGCATTTCTCAGACATCTTTCTAATTCTGACAAGTTTTGACTTCATAACATTTTTAAAGTCTCAATTTTAGTGAGTTTAATATTTAAATTTATTTCATTTTTATCATATATTAAACTGACATTATTGACTGATTTATCAATTCTCGAAATAAATAGATTTTAAGTAAGTTTTTTTTGCTAAATGAATTTCGTTTTTTCAAATCTACTCAAGAATTCAAGTCGTTTTTAACTCATGTCGATGTTCATTGTTTACCGTGTATGTGTATTTTATGAAGCTATAGGTTGCTTGTTAAAAAGCAGGTGCACTCATGAAAAAAAAACGCGAGCAAAATTTGAAAAAGTGATGTAAAAAGAAGGGATCCCGAGAAAGAAAATGGAGCTATATTTTGTATTACACACTAACGGAACATTTGTAATCATGAAGTGAGCATACGTGTGTGTACTGTTTTCACAACCCACTACGTTCTACTATATCGCCATGACAACCCTGATATGACTGAATAATTGTGTGGTTTTTTACATATTAGCAGAGTATATTGCACGAACAAATGGTTAAAGATGCAACTACACTGCAAAAATAAGTGTCTCTAAATGATGACGTTGAATTAAGAATTGTAGGTTGACTTAAATGCCCAAGTGTGTGAACTAAATGTGTTTTGCCCAAGTACAGATTTATTGTATATGAGCAGCTCAAAGGTCAAAATAAGTCCGCTGTGTGCTTTCTGTGTATAATACATGCTTCATGGTCATCGCGCAATGCATACTGGGAAGGATCCTCTGAAAAAGTGAGCATCAAATCACCATGTTTGTTTTCCCAGTGGGATGTGTCTATTGTCAAAGCCGATCTTTTCTAGTCTTTTGAAACATATCACTTTTGTTTCTGGTTCTGATATTGTCATATTTTAGTTTTGGGATTCGGACATCGTAGTTGTGTGGTTGTTGGGTTTACTAACAGTGGAAAACGGCTCGAGAAATGGGCTTTGGAAGTTTGCGAACTCCATAAATGCAAAAGGGAATCAGATGTGTGCGACTGCAAACCTCCGTTCAAACTGTTTCCCTTCCCAACGGAATTGAAAAATAGTGAAAGGTGAAGGCGATGGGCAGGATTGATCCACAGGAAGGACCAAAAAAAAATCATCCCAAGTTTGCAGCGAACATTTTGTAAGTGGAGAACCATCAAAGCAAAATCCAGATCCCTCGCTCCACCTTGGTTACGAATTTAAAAAGTCAGTGCAAAAGGGAAAGGCACCAGCTGTTTTCCAAGAAACACCTTCCACTGCAAAGAGACCAAGACGTGATGTTGCTGTAAAACTACAAGAACGAGAAAGTGCGAGCTCAGTCTGTTTGTCTTCTGTACCTCTCGCTTAACAAACAGGATCACCGCTTTGTTGTCACTCCACATACAAAATGTTCGCTGTAAACTCGGGATGATTTCTTAGGCAGCCAAAGGTTTCCTTTTTCGTCCTTCCCGTGGATCAATACTGCCCATCTCCTTCGCCTTTCACTATTTTTCAATTCCGTTGGGAAGGGAAACAGTTTGAACGGAGGTTTGCAGTCACACACATCTGATTCCCTTTTGCATTTATGGAGTTCGTAAACTTCCGAAGCCCGTTTTCCGTTGTTAGGACATCCAACAACCACACCATTACGATGTCCGAATCCCAAAACTAAAATATGACGATATCAGAACCAGAAAAAAAAGCGATATGGTCCAAAAGATTTGAAAAGATCGACTTTGTCAATAGACGCATCCCACTGGTAAAACAAACATGGCGGTTCGATGCTCACTTTTTCGGAAAATCCTTCCCAGTATGCATTGCGCGATGACTGGAAGTCCGAAATTCGTGATGCATGTATTATAAAGTGTTTTATTGTCAGTTAATCAGGAAATGTTTGTTTAGCATGCTAGTTGCTGTTAGCATTACCATGATGGCAAGAAAGTTGTGAAAAATGCTTATAAACTCATCATGTTGAATAATTAGGAAGCTCTGAATGCATCAGGTAAGTGAAGAATAACTGGACCAAACAGTTTGAAAGGAACTAGTTCTGTTTTTCACATTTTTAATACCACAAAAATGAGGTGTTCAGGTTTAATTACATCGGAAAGGTTTTGAGTTGCCCTTTGTGAGTGATATTTGTTCAAGGCAAAATTTGCCGCCAGCATAATATGGTTTTCTTTGCTGTTATTTCAAGTGCAAAAACAGAATTTTTGTTGTAATGAGACATAATTAAAAGCACTGAGCCTGATTTTTCCGGGAACATGTGAAAAGCAGAACTAGTTAATTTAAACCGTTTGCAGTGGTCCAACTTTATTCCTCACTTACCTTATTATTTTGAGCATCCTAATTATTCACCATGATGGGTTTATAAATTAGAGTATTTTTCAGACTATAAGGCCCACTTAAAATCCTTTAATCTTCAGAAAAATCGAGTGTACGCCTTATTTATTAATTTTGGTTGTGCTTACTGACTTCGAACTGATTTTATGTGGTACACGGCACTCAAAAATCTGTCAAAATGTTTTAGTATGACTTTGGTAAACTACAGTCTATGTGTATGACCTACAGACTTATAATCTCTGAAAAGTTTCACATGAGCCATCTGCAACAGGATATACACACAGAACAGGCTCACCATCAGCAGCACATCCTCTGTCACAGAAACAACACTCATATTCCACTGAGTCGTGTCCTTTAGTCTGACAAAAGCTGAACCGCATCAGCGCACAAGGAGCGAGCTGTTTTTTTCAGCGCTTATAGTTTATGCAAATGAGCCATATGGTTTTAAGTTTCATTTCTCTAAAACATAAACAAATGTGCACAAAGCGGCATTAAACACATTATTACTCAATGTATATTTGATTCCTCCTCAAAGGAAATAAAAAAAAACTTATATTATCCACCTACATTCACATTCGTAATACACATTCACCAAGACTACGTTTACACTGAAACGAATCACCACATCACCGTTTCGGAAACGATTTGCGTCGAGACACGTCGTTTCTGTGTCCGCAATCCTTCCCTGTCCACACAGCTTTGAGCATATGTGTTTCTTTTACAGAAATTAAACTTAAAACCACATGACTCATTTGCATAAACTGAGCACTCAAAAAACAGCTCGCTATTGTGCTCTAATGCGGTTCGGATTCTGTCGGACTAAAGGACATGACTCAGTGGAATATGAGTGTTCTTTCTGTGACAGAGGGGTGTTCTGCTGATGGTGAGTCTGTTCTGTGTTTCTATCGTGTTGGAGATGGTTCATGTTAAACTTTTCATTGATTATACGTCTGCAGGTCGTACGCACAGACCGTATATATGAATGGACATATATTCTAGCCTCTTAGCGGTTTGGCGGTGAGTTACTTCGCAGCGTATCAGCGTTTTCAGGCATCCACACGGTGCCAGATCAGATCTGTACTCCGATGAATTCGTGGGAGTTGGCGGCACCAGATCGTTTTGTCTCTGGAGCCGTTTTCTGTCGGATTAGCGTGGACGAACACTGCATCTGGAGCAAAAATGACTCGAATATGTATTAGTGTGGATGGGGCCCAAGAGAGGGAGGCAACGCCGGGCGAATTACGCCACAATCTGCCAAGGGATCAGTCTCAAGTGCCGTCCGTTTGTTTCTCTTAATGCACCTCATAATCCGGTGCACCTTATGTTTGAAAATAGACGAGAGAATTCAACATTATTGATACTGCGCCTTATAGTCTGAAAAAATACGGTATTTTCACAACTTTCAGCCATCTATGCATGCATTACGTGATCCTCAGACTATAAAACACTTTATGATCAGATGCAGGCAGCACATGGCGAACTTATTTTAAACTCAAGAGCTGCTTATATAATAAATTTGTACAGGGGCAAAGCTAATTTAGCCCAAATACAAGGCCTTTAAGAGAACATTAAACTAGTCAAAAATGCCCTGAAAGGTCAGTTTAAATGATGTAATGCA